TAACATATAATAAAATGTACAGATCTTAAGTAGTATTCAGTTAATGAGTTTTGATAATCGTATTCACCCACGTAACCACTGCCCCAAACAAAATAGAATATTTCCATCACTCCTGGAGGGGCCCTTATTTCTCTTTCCAATCAATATTTATCCCCCAATCCCTGAGCAATCACTTTCTGATTTCAATCACTGTGTTTATTTTGCTTCCTGAATTTCATATAAGTAGACTTACAGAGCATGTATTTGGAGGTGGCGGGCAGTCTGCTTTCTTTCATTTACCATAATATTTTTGAGATCCATCATGTTTTTGTGGGTAGCAGAATATACCCTGTGTGTGTGTGTGTGTGTGTGTGTGTGTGTGTGTGTGTGTGTGTGTGTATGCATGTATATGTATCTCAGGTTGAGTGTTCCTTCTCTGAAATGCTTGGAACTAGAAGTATTTCGGATTTCAGATTTTTTTGGATTTTGGAATATTTGCATTATACTTACCCAACTGAGCATCTCTAATCCCAAAATCCAAAATTCTCCAATGAGCATTTCCTTTGCACATCATGTTGGTGCTCAGAAGGTTTCCGTTTTAGAGTATTTCAGATTTCAGAATTTTGGATTAGGGTTGCTCAGCTTATAGTTTTTTTTAAATTGTTAAATAGTATTGCATTGTATGAATATGTCACAGTCTGTTTATCCATTCTCCTGAACCCCTAGATTTTAAACAATTTTTAAAAATGTGAGTATCAATTAGGAATAATTTACTGTTGACTTACAAATTAGTAAAGGACTGGAAAGCTTTACACGGAATTTGCCACTGGCTTAATCAGAATTTTTAGCATCTAGATATTGTTTTCTTGCCTGCATTCTCTCTTCTTAGCCATAGATTAAAAGGGAGAAAATGAAACTGTCCTTCTGTCTGTGAGTGTTCCCTATATAATGTATTCCTTTTGGCCCAATGCCTAGAAAGTTGTTTGTAGAATTGATGGAAGGATATATATTCTCACTGTGTTTTGGAAGGTACTTACCTTGACAGTCAAAAAATTTATGGGGAATATGCTGTATTCTGCCTGAAAAAAATTGCCGAATCTTGGCTCCCAATCATCCTCCCCTATATCATCCTGTTTCCTCACTCTCCGTCCTTGCCCCCTACATCTGACAGTCCCCTCTGTGCAGCTTTGAGCCACTGAATGTCCTCAGGAGACATTCTGCCTTTGAAATTTTGCTGTTTGCCTGATTGAAATGTACACTGTGCACAAATAGGTTGCAGGGAAGCACACATCTAGGCCCTCCTGGGAGCTTAATGTCTTTGCTTTGTTCTAGTCACAGTTACATATGAAATAGTTCCTTTCTTCTCTCACAAAAAACCTTTCAAAGCCTTTAATTTCCTCTGTGTACCAAATAAACTATCAAGAGTGGAAATTACTTCTCTGCCTTTTAACATTCTACTGGCTTTATTTTCACTTTTAAGGCTTTCTTTAGTTAGTGAATTGTCTTTCAACTGCAACTTTTACTTTTCTTTTGGCCCAGAAAAATTGGTTTCTAGGAATCCTTATGCCCCAAGAGTAAGAAGAGCCCTTTTGTGGGCAGGTGCAGTGGCTCATGCCTGTAATCCTGGCACTCTGGAATGCCGAGGCAGGAGGATTGCCTGAGCTCAGGAGTACAAGACCAACCTGAGCAAGAGCAAGACCCCATTTCTACAAAAAATAGAAAAGTTAGTCGGCGTCAGCCTGTAGTCCCAGCTACTCAGGAAGCTGAGGCAGGAGGATCCCTTGAGCCCAGGAGTTTGAGGTTGGAGTGAGCTATGATGATGCCGCTGCACTCTACCAGGGGTGAGAGAGCAAGACTCTGTCTCAAAAAAAAAAACAAAAAAAAAAACTGTTCTGCATCAGATTACAGGCCTGGAAATGACCTCAATTAAAGGTGAAGGGCTGTGAAATTCCTACGCAGGTGGAGAAAGATTTCTCACATAGAGTTTAGGATATACAGAAGTAAAAGTTTATTTATTTTCTGAGAAAGAGAGAGAGGGAGTGAGTGGCCACAGCACACAACTGAAATAGTAGAAATGCCAGGCCTTGAGAAAAAGCTGCTTGAAATTTTAAAGGGTAAAAATTGTTTTGTTTTGTTTTTTTTCTCTGCTTGAGAAGGCTGATAGCAGAACCTGAAGCGAAGTTGTTGCAGGTGTTCTTTATTTTCTCTCTTTGTGAGTTGGGCTTATCTAAGTCCTTGGAATTTGGTTTTTTGGTAGGAACTGAGGCAAAGAGTTGGAGCGTGGAGCTTGCATCCCTAATGTCTGGCACATTCAAAAGGTTGTTTCGGAGAGCAAAAGAGAATCTCAGTGTAAGACATACGGTTTTATACTTAGTGTATCTTCCAATGGATCTTGACTCTAGAATAGTAACACTCTGTCCCCTCCTTACTAGCCTCTGTCTACTTAAGGGCAACTTCTTTTATCCTAGAAGCAAAATGGTGAGGAGACTTAAAACCATGTGATTTGAATACCTGACTTAATGCTGGGAATGTTTAGAGAAGGAAATAAGATAAAGTTCTCTTTTGTAAAGGGTTAACATGGAAGCAAGATTAAGGTTGTTCTTTATGACTTGCACAGAAAGCTAAACTGGGACCCCGGTGGAGGAAGTACCAGGGAGATGAAATTTGCCTTTTTATAAGAAAAGTGTCCTAAAAAAAATGTTTTATATCTGGAGGCAAAGACTCCCCTTGACTAGAGGTATACAAGCAGGGACAGGACAACCATTTTTCAGAATTACTAATAATTCCACAACCTAATTATGGAAGACTATGGATGTAGAAGGATGGAGCTGAATGAGAAAGCTTCTAAGTGCCCTTCCAATTAAGAGATTTCATGATTCCTTTGTATCTTTTGTAGACTTTTCATTTTCCTTTCTGATCTTTAACCATCTGTCCCCTTACTTAGAAGCAATATTGCATAAAGGTTAAAAAAGCAAGTACTGAGCCAGGCAGGTATCTCACATCTGTAATCCCAACACTGGGAGGCCAAGGTGGGAGGATCAGTTGAGGCCAGGAATTTGAGACCAGCCTAGGCAAGGCATTGAGACCCTGTCTATACAAAAATAAAAATTAAAAAAATTAGCCAAGCATGGTAGGGGAGGCTGAGGTGGGAGGATCTCTTGAGCCCAGGAGTTTGAGGCTGCAGTAAGCTCTGATTGCTCCACTGCACTCTAGCCTGGGTGACAGAACAAGAACTTTCTCTTAAACAAAACAAAATAAAACAAACAAAAAAAAGGAATATTGAGCATTTTCTTTTGTAGTTAGTTTCTTCCAATATTTCTCATCTTTAAACTCAACTGTGTGACTTCATGATTGTGTGAATGACTCTCTGGCCCTTTAAATTAAGAGAATTTATCTAGCGCTAAGCAAACTAAGTCTCCAGGCTTAGGAGCCACCACAAGGTGAATAAAGCAGTAATCTTGCAGACTATCTAACTTGTGTCAGGATGAGGTTACTGTGCTGCTTGAAAGCCTTCTGGGTCTTACCTTTTAAACTGATTTGAAGGAGAAAAAAATTTCTGTTGTGACAATTTTCTTGAAACATTGCTAACCATTTGTTTGTTTAGTTAGCTCAGTTTCTAGGGTTATACTGGGAATAGATGTGACATCTGGGAAGGTTTCCAGTATTTTTTGTTTTTTGTTTTTTTGAGACATGGTCTGTCTCTGTCACCTGGCTAGAGTGCAGTGACATCATCAAGGCTCGCTGCAACCTCAAACTCCTGGGCTCAAGTGAAAATCCTGCCTCAGCCTCCCGAATAGGTGGGACTACGAGGCGCCTGCTACCACATCCTGCCTGGCCAGTCTTATCTTTTTATTTATTTATTTTTATTTTCCCCTTATATTGACAGGGAAAGAGTCTTATCTTTTTAAAAGATGGAAAGATGTTTTTAGGATTGAAGTACAGTCAGTAACCCATGTAAGGAAAAACCTCTACAAACCATTGTTGGAGCTAAGCACTTGAGGACATGAATCTATGTATAGAGTATCAACTTCTGTTAGTGTGTGCTTGGAGAACTGCATTGGCTTCATTATAGGATTTCCCAGGTAGTGATAATAAGAGAGAAAGAACCAGCCACCCTGCACTACAGATACTCTGTGTCATTGGGTGACAGTAAATTGACTAAACCCAAATAGCAAACTGAAGATTCCTCCTCCAAGGATAGACCCGATCTTTCTGAAGGATAAATGACTACAAAGTTCTCTTCTTGCTTTTTCAGCTTTCCTAAGATAAAGAAAAGCATTTAAGATTATATAACCATTGTCTGATTTTGCTTCTTTTTGAGGGGGGAGTAGCTTGAAGTTGGTAACAATGTTGTAGTTTGTGGTAGCTGTGGAAGTTCTCCCTTGGGAAAGAAACTGTTCCTGTCTAGTGGTGAATAGAACTTTATTATATGTTTTTCTTCTTTCTGGAGAGAATCTAGCAAGTTAAGCGGTTGAGCTGAAAATGTGAGCAAATTTCTATAGGGAACAAGGGAAGGCAAATAAAGTACCAAGAGGACTTATACTCAGTTGCTTTAGAACTGAATCCTAGTGAATCTCAAAATAATTATGCTGAGTAAAAGAGTCTAAACAGTGTATGATTTCATTTATATATAAAATTCTAGAAAATGCAGACTAGAAGAAAGCAGATCAGTGGTTGGCTGGGAGTTGTGGGGAGGAAACGGAGAGATTATAGAGGGACATGAGGAAACTTTTGGGGTGACGGATATGCTCCCTGTCTCGATTGTGGTGATGGTTTCATCAGTGTATGCATGTGTCATAACTCATCAAATTGTACATTTTAAATATATGTAGTTTGTAGTATGTCCATTTTACCTCAATAAAGCTATAAAAAAAATGAGTCCAGGGTTCGCATTTATCAAAGGACTATTTTTTAGGTTACAGGGAGGCTGCTGGAAAAAATGTACCAGTGTGAAATACAAGTCTTATGTGTGTTAAGTATGGATACACACCTGCTGTTTAATGCGTTTGATGTTTCTTTAGGAGTCCATAGAGGCTACTGTATATTATTGAAGAACATGTCTAACAGTAACACTACTCAAGAGACCCTGGAAATAATGAAAGAGTCAGAAAAAAAACTGGTGGAAGAATCCGTAAACAAAAACAAGTTTATATCTAAGACTCCAAGTAAGGAAGAAATTGAGAAAGAAAGTGAAGATACCAGTTTGCGTCAGGAGACACAGGTAAGAATTAGAAGTCCATCATGTGTGCACTCTTTATACCTGAATAGAAGTGGAAATCTGTAGGAACCCAGTCATTTATACAAACACTAGATTCTCCTTAAAAACTCCGACTTCAGCTCTTGGCCAGGTGTGATGACACATACCTGTGATCCCAGCACTTTAGGAGGCTGAGGTGGGAGGATTGCTTGATGCCAGGAGTTGAAGACCAGCCTGGGCAATATAGCAAGACCCCGTCTCTGCAAAAAATTTTTAAAAATCATCTGGGCATAGTGGTGCACACCTGTAGTCTCAGATACTTGTGAGGCTGAGGCACGAGGATCACTTGAGCCCAGGAGTTGGAGATTACTGTAAGCTATGATTGTACCACTGTACTCCAGCCCAGGCCACAGAGTAAGACACAGGGATAATGACAACAAAAAAAATCCCCAAAACCCTAACTTCAGCTTTTAAGAAACATTTCCCCCTTTCGTCATAGAGTCCACAATGAAATCTAAAGAGGACCAAGTTAAATCCCTTATCTATTTGGACCTGAGTTCACTGATTCTTGCTACATTTACTACATTTTGATATCTTTTAACTGTCAAAAAATAAACTGTATACAAACATATTTAACAAGTCATAAAATGACTCATACAATAAACTTAAAACTAGAGCTGCCTGGCTTTACACACAGTGTTAAATTCATATCCTGGTTGTGTTAAAGCAGTCAGCATTTTCTGGGTCAGAAATAGTCTCTGAAGTTGCCACTTGGTAAATGTGAGTGAGAGGACTTTTCACTCTTTGGTTGCCATGTTATTTTTCATCCAAATTTATACTACATACAGAAATGATGGCAGTGGATGGTCAACCAAATCTCTTCCACAGTTCTTCTTTGGTGCCTGCCTAGCCAGCCTAGACTCTGAACCTACCTGTTATAGCCCTTCTTTTTTTCTGTGGTCACTGCTGATTTCTTCTGTTACCCAAGCCCAACTTACATAAATTTTTTCCTTCATGCCCAAGGGTGAGACTGGTCTTTATTATAACCTCAGGAGATAGACCATTACTGCTAGCAAGAAGTTAGATTAAAAAGCAGGAGCAGCAACATTTTGGAGGGTCTGGAAACTTGAAGCATAATTTTTCTAGACGACTCAATTCACCTAGGGCTTGTCTTCTTTAAAGATTAAAACAGCCACAATGTAAAGGGATAAATTAAAATCAGACAGCTCTATGAAATATTTTGTTCTCTAGTTGCCTGCTTTTCTACTGTCTTTTCTCTTATAGTTTGCCAGATCTCTGTCCTGGCTGTTTTTCTTTCCATTATCTTTCACATGTGAGTTGTCATTCCTCACCCATTCTTCCAGAGTTTATGGAGACAGTCTGCCACTTTTCAAACTATACTCCCAGCCTCCACTGATACCAATAATGAATTTTAAATCCTCAGGAAAGATAAATGATGAATGTTTAATTATATGCTGTCATGTTACACGAAAGATAATAATTAAATTAATTTTGGGGTCCAAGTTATTCTGTTCTCAGGAGACTATTACAAATGGTGTTCTCAACTCCTGTTTCGCGTACTTGAAGATGTTCGGAAAACAAAGGACATGTATAGGTTTATACTCCTTATGGGCACTCACTTGGTTTTAAAATGTCTTCACCTGGATATACAAATAGGTTGTGTAGGGAGCTGGAGGAGACCTGCCTCCTCTCTGACCTGACTCTTTATGCTAAGGCTAGAGCAGGTGGAACTGCTGCTGCCATCTACTGGAGCTCGTGCTCCTTTTGCAAAGTCTTCAATGTTGTAGGCCATCCTGGATCCTATGGATCAGTCCTTTAGGAAGCCCTCTCCTCTCTACCATTCCCAACACATCATGAGCTCCTTCAATAGCACTAAAAATTCTGCTTCTCCTACCTACCCACTGCTCATACCCCAGAAGTCTCCCTAAGAATCTAAGATGCGCTGTCAAGGGAGTCCCTGTTATGAATTGGAACTGAAAAGTTTGGGGAAAGGAGATTTTCATTACTTGTAGTGATGAAATATATTCTTAGAATCAGCGATTGAAACTCCGAACATCTTTTGCATGGGAACAGTGCTGCAAAATGCAGGTTCTGAGATTTTGTTTAGAATGGGCAAGCCTCTCACTTAACAAATAATGAGGTGTGTCCTTTAAATAAGCAACTGGTTCACAAAAAATATGGGAGAGAGCAAAAAATAATAATAAATAACCATGTGAGTATGACCTCCTAGGTGGGCTTTCTGCCTTTAAACTTGTAATCCTTTCTGATAAATCTACCATACTCCTTTCGAAAGATAGTTGCAAAATAAAGAACTGATTGTGTTGATTCTCTTTAAGCTTTCTATGTGTCTTACCCTAGGCCAAGTCCCAGATTTCTCAGCATGGTATATTATAACCTAGTCCCTTGCCCATCAGCCATCACCTCTGGCATCCAGTGATTCAGCATTATCTGATTCCTTGGTCCCTGTTATAAATGGGAGCTGAAAGTTTGGGGAAAGCATGCTTTTTATACATGCTTTCCCTGCCTAGAATGCCCTCCTTATTATTCTTTCCCTGGTCTCCTCCAACTCCTGAATCCCCTTCCCAACGTCTGTCTAATACGTGTGTATCCTTCAAAACTCACTGCAGATGTGTCTTTCTCCAGGAAGCCTTCCTTGACCACCTTATTCACATATTTCAGATCTATGTTGTATAATTCTTTGATTAATGTCCATCTTCCTCACAGAACTATAACCTCTATGATGCCCAGGATTAGGTCAGTTTGGGCTCACCATTTTATCTCAAGGCCTAACACAGTCCCTTGCACATAGGAGGTACTCAGTGTCTGTGACTGTATGAATTTATGTATTGTTAGGTCTGAGATGCTTCTGCTGTGTGCTCTCATAGCACTCCATGAGTACCTCTGTAACACACTTAATGTTCTGTATTATAATTGTCTATTTGTCTGTCTTCTTCAACAGGATAATGAATTCCCTTTTGACAAGGTTTGTGCCTTTTATCCCTGTATCCTCCTGTAGCTAGCATGATACCTGGTGCATATTAGGCTTTCCATATGTGTTTGACTGTTAAATGAAAACTATTCTGGGAAATAAGCAAATTCATATATTGGTAAGAATATAAATTCGTACAACCACTTTAAGGGATAATTTAGCAATACTTTATAAAAATTTTTAAATGGACTACAGGTATACTGTATTTACTTATAGTCAATGATATGGTCATTGTTTATACTAGCAAAAGTCAGAAGCATCCTAAGTGGTGCAATATTAGGGACTTGCTAAAATAGATTATGGAATAGCCACATAATGGAATACCATGTAGACATTAAGAAAAACAGGGTAAATCTTCTATGGAATAGTATCTATGAAAAAAATTTTAAAAGCAAGGTTCAGAGTAATGTGCACAATATACTTGGTTTTTAAAAAAACTGTGTATGCATATGCACAATAAGCATATATATGCATAAAAGATCTCTGGATATATCTAATAGAAATTCAATACTGATCGACTCTTTAGGAGAGAACCAGGTATCCCGGGGACAGTTATGAAAGGAGACTTACTGTTCTATATATACCCTCATTATACCTTTTGAATGTCTGTGCCATGTGTATGTTATTTCCTATTTGAAAAAGTAGTGACAAATACTGCTTCATATTTCTGGACTGTGAGTCTTTCCTTACTGCAGCAGATCTTGCCACTGACCAGATCCATCATCATTTCTTATTCTTTCCATCCACCTTCCCAGTTCTCCATTTTGCATTGTGGCAGTGTTGTTTGCTAACTAGTGAAGAGGACCAAGGAAAGAGAAATCCTCACCTACCCAAGACCATGCTGGTATTCTACTTTTGGCTTGTTTCTCCTGTTCCAATCTCCTCCCTCAGTTTTCTCCATACCCCACTGGCAATGAGTTCAATTCCAAACATCTCAGGGCCCCTAAGTGCCTCATGCCCATATATAACCCTACCTAACCTCTTCACAAAATCCCCCATTTTGACTTCTCAGATGTTTAGAAATCTTATTAATTAGCTGTGTCTTCCTTCATCCCACCTCAGGCCTTCATTCTTTATCTTCGTCAGCTTCCACCCTGCTCCTTATCCATGCTGTCTCCCCTTGCTCTGGAGGTCTTATCCCTATCTTCCATACTCTCTTCTTTTTATGCTGTCCCATTTTATATCTCTGACCCAGACGGGCTATAAGAGTCACCACTAGGATCTTAGAACTGGGAGAAGTCTCATACTCAGGGAGGGAGGCATTTGAGAATAAGACTCTTCATTTCATTTCTGCAGCTATAGGGACAGGTGTTTTGGGTATCTCAAGTTGGAACTGTGAAGGTGTTGTCCTAATAAAGATGTTAATATAAGTGATGGTTAGGGGCCATATTTCACATCCATTATGGATTTAAAAGCCTCCTGTGAGCAAGCTTGGGGGAAAAATATGCTATGATAGTGACATTTCCTCTCATGCTTTGGTAGTGACATTTCCAGAGAAATATCCTAATCGGGAGAGGATTCTTGGATAGAACTGTTTGTCCAAAAGTAATTTTTATCGGTCTGTGAAAAAAGCCAACAAATCAGTGTTTTCCTACTCTTCATCTTCATGGTGAATGGTGATTTGACTGTAGGTGGTCTGTGGTCCCTTCTGTGTCACAGTTGCTGGTGTTATAGGGGAAAGTGGTTCTCATCATAGTTTGGCTATCGCTCTAATGGTTTTTACGGTTAGTGCTTTTTCTTTATAAACATAGATTGCTTTTAACGTAAGTGTTGATTTTCTTTACCTTTAATATTTTCCAATCCCCTTCTAACAGAGGCGGACATCCAACCATGGTCATGCCAGGAAAAGAGCCAAGGTGAGAGCCCTTCTTGTATAGCTTCTTTTCTAATGTTATTAGTGATACATTTCACGAATGGACTTATCATCAATATCTAATTTATTTGAATTATATAGGTAGAGTTTTCTTGCCTGCACTTTGTACCTTAATTGTGAACTTGCATATATGCGTGTGTACACACACACATACACATACACACACACACACACACACACACTTCCTAATGGAAGGTCTGGCTTTATTTTACTCCATTATCTGCAGTTCAGTCATAGTCTATTTCTGATTCCTGGAAGGATACCCAGCTGGAATCTTCCACAGAGTCTAAGAGAATTTGGTACTGGTTGTGCTGAGATACCAGTTTCTCTGCTCACCCCTGGCTTCTCTGGGAGAGTGGCTGCATATATGAGTCTTTTTATTCCCCTTCACATTTCCTTTTTTTTTTTTCTTTCCCTTGTAAATTTTCCTTTAAGATAAATCCTGCCCCATTAGTAGAAATGACTCAACATTTTTGGATATCCTAAAAACACAGGCTTTTTTTTAATGTTTCACTTTTTACGGGCACGGAGGAAGATTTTATTTTTAATCACTGTATGATAAATTAGCACATCACAGATTATTTTAAGCAGAGTTATCAGGGAAGACTATATGTGTTAGTGTGTGATAGCCTTTGATTTAGCTGGGGAACAGTAAAATATTAAACTTTTCTTGCATTGGGAAGAAATGTCACTAGAAGTAATAATTAAGAATGCCCCCCCCTTCCCCCCAGAAAAATAATGATTAAGTTTGGGAGTTTAATTAAACTTCAAACCCAGTATATGGCCTGGGTTTGAAGAAGGCCAAGAAGTATGATAAATTGGTTCTGTGTCTTGCCTTACACGGATGGCCTCATCCATAGTGATGGACTTGATGTTAAAGTTCAAAAGAGAAGGTACTCACTGCTACTTTAGTTCTTCCCAAACTTCTTGAGGTAAGTAAGACAGTTATTATCTCCATATTATAGATAAGGAAACTTGGGCTATGGAGATTGAGTGACTTAACAGAGGACATCCATTAGCAAGTGGCAGAAGTATGCCTGAAGTCATTTCTTCAGACTTATGAGTTCTCTTTGCTATACCGCACTACCTGGAACACATATAACATGTTTTGTGCTTTAGTATTTACTGTAAACTTTGGTTTTATTATAAGAACTCTCAGCAAATGTTTATTTTATTATTAATTCTAATGAGTCACTCTAGAATTTTTAGCTTTGAGGATCCCTAGGAGAGCAGTGATTTGCATAGTGGATTTCAGATTTTTTTGGGATTCACCAGCTAGCAGAAGTAAAAGCAGGTGGATTAGCTTTTTATTGCATCCCAAGTGTTATAAAGTTTTTTTATCTTTCTCTTTACTCTTTTCTTAGACACTTCGTTCCATACACTTGCCACCTCAAGTTTAGAGTAATTTGGCATTTATTGTCTACTGTATCCTAAGCACTATTTAATGATATGTATATTTACATACTATATATTATCTGATTCTTACAACAGCAGTCTAAATATTTTTATGGCAGTTTTACTCAGGAAAAACAGAGATGCAGAAAGGTCAAGTAATTTGCTCAGGGTCTCAGGTTGTAAGTGCAAAACCAGAAATTAAAGCTCGGACTTCCGGCTTTCACACCCAGTGTCTTTCTACTATGATATGCTGCTGTGTGTTCACAGTAAACTTATCAGTCTAAAGTTGGAGCACTGGGTTCCAATCTTGCTGAGAGAGAAGAGGGCTAAGTGAAATGATTTCCTACCATCTGTCCAAGTAGTCATTTTGTTTGTACATGTTTACTGTTGTAAGCAAGAGAATTTTCTTTCAATTGAATCAGAAACTGGTGAGGAGGACCTGTTTTTGAAAAACCCTATTTAATGGAAACAGCAACTAACAGAGCCAAAGAGGATGCTCTTCATTCAGCCAAAAGCCTTCTAAATGTTCACCAAGAGAAGAAGATATATATGTATTTGGGGTTTTTTTTTTTTCAGTCTAATTCCAAGTTGAAGTTGGTGCGCAGCCTGGCAGTGTGTGAAGAGTCCTCCACCCCATTTGCTGATGGGCCGCTAGAAACCCAGGTAGGTCGTTTACAGGAAGGAGTAAAGTAGCTTTTGAGCTTGGCAGTTATTTGGTAAAGTGTAGTATAGCAATCACAGCACCAATATCAGGCTTGGAATCAGGGTAGAAGGCACTTTAAAACAAAAGCTGTTGCAGTAAAGTGAGAGCATGAAGTATAGGTCTTTGTCTTGACCACTCAGAATGATGCAGACAAGGAGATCCCAGGGCTGGATCTTGTTTTCCCACCCACACTCCTCCCCTCCTGTAGTTAGAACTATTTCCATCCAGTTCCTATGCCAAAAACAGCCAGTATAACTTGAGCTCTTCATATAGTAGGTTGTAATTGCTGGCAGGAAAACTTCGCCTCTACCCTCCTGATAGAACAAAACTAAAACAACTTAATTAACAAAATACACTCTTCTGTAAGAGGGAGCCGCCACCTCAAGATTTACCTTCTTTGAGATTCGAAGGAGCTGCAAGATAGTTAGAATTCTTTTTCCCCTTTGATTATTCTCTTTCCCCTTGTTTAAGGATATAATTCAATTGCACATCAGTTGCCCCTCTGACAAGGAGGAAGAAAAGTCCACAAAAGATGTCTCTGAAAAGGAAGACAAGGACAAAAACAAAGAAAAGGTCCCAAGGAAGATGCTATCCAGAGGTAAGGACTTTCCCCATCTTTCATCTGTCCTAGGGCCTGGTTCTGCAGTTCCCTTTCCTTCTGTGCTGAAGCCTGGCACCCACGGGCTTCACTGGCCCATGAGTTTATAGTGTCCTGCTGATTTGGTTGCTTGGGAAGATGCCTAACTAGGTTACTTTCTATACTTCTTTAATTGACCCTGCCTTAGGGGTTCACATGCCACAGAAAGCTACTCCAACTGCATTGGAGTACCCGTAGGAGGACAGTGTAGTCAATTCTAATTCCATTTGTGCTCTGGAATAAATGGTGACATGGATAATGACTGGTAGCAGATTCTCCAGATAACACTTATATTTTGGTTTTGGGGTGGCTAAGGTGATTTTTTTTTTTTTTAAATAATACAGATTTGCCTCTAATTATTAGACTCTCTTTGGCTTTAAACTCTTATGTTGGTAGCCAAAAGACATCCATAAAAATGATAGTTGACCAGAAAAGGCAACCTTGATTGATTAAAAATAATCAATATTTGGGCATATTTATGGAGATTCTTGAAAATTCAGCCCTGTCTGCCCTTATCTGGAATTTATTTTCTTTAACTAGAATAAAAGCTGCTTTGTTTTGATCAGGGCATTCAGTAAATACTTATTGATGATTGGTAGCTTTTCAGTGTAATACTGATGCAACAATATGGCCCAGATTCTTCCTTCTGTTATTTTGATGGGGAATTTAGGGGGCTGGGGTTAGCACATCAAGGTCATTTTGGGTTTTATGCTAAAACTCCTAAAGTTTGATTTTACTTTCCTATTCTCATCTCTCTTGATTAGGTTGTGGGCTTCTGCTTGGGATTAGATACCATGCAAGGCAATTTCATTTATTTTAAATTTCTTTTGTTGTGGTGGTTCTAGACTCCAGCCAAGAATATACGGACTCTACTGGAATAGACCTACATGAATTTCTTGTAAATACACTGAAAAAAAACCCAAGGTAATAACATAATTGGTGTAAGAGGAAAAGGGGATAGAGGCCCACAGGATTCCAAGAGGCCAAGCAGCTTCCTAGATTTTTTACATTATAGAATTCAGGATGCCTCCCTCCCCAGTCTTTTTCAAGTATAGTTTTATATTTTGTGAGGGGGTCACAGTACCGTTACATTAAGGTTTCTGCTTTCAGAAGAGTTGAGAAAAATTCTGTGGAAGAAGAATGCAGAGACAAAGAAATATGAAAGCTTGGGAGTATACTAATTAAAAAACACAGAAGAAAAAAATAATTGATTTGTACATAAGCTAAATTATGATTGCTTTAAAACCTATAAATAACCAGATGGAATATAGAATAATGATTAGATTTATAATTTTAAAGTATGTGTTTATATGAATATATGACTAACAAAATTAGATTTCTGATATGGTGTCACAAGATACATGATTAGGAAGGATCTACAAAGTTTATACTTGGATTGTTTTTCTGCTTTAAAATACCATAATACGGGCTGGTGAGGCTTAGCAGCCTCTGCATGATGGTCCATTATTGAGGTTTGGATATATCCCTCCCTTAGCTTCTGTAGTGCACAAGCTGTGTTTTTAATCTCTGTTTTCAATGTCTATGGGAGGGCTGCTTTTTGTTTTGTTTTGTTTTAATCTTTTTTAAACAGGGACAGAATGATGCTGCTAAAATTAGAACAGGAGATTCTGGAATTTATTAATGACAACAAGTAAGTTACTTGTATGAAATACACATTTAGAGGTGGGAGGGGACACTGGAAAGAAATGTAGATACAATTTTAGGACATGCCTGTTTCATTTGTCTCTTAAAGTATGACTTTTGAAGTAATTACTGGGGAACAAAAGGAGTTAGGGAGAAACAGTCAGAATGGATTAAAAGTATATGTGTGAAAACAAAGTGAGATTTTTAAGTTATTGCAGAGACTTGAGTTAAAAAAGAATTTATATCTTTTTAGCAGCTAGCCCTTGTCCCAGATTTTACTATTCTTAAATTTTTCCCCTTTTAATGTGTTGGACATCATCCAAGTGCTTGGGACCTAGGACTTAATAAGTAGTCTTAATGAGGATAGTGGGTCAGAGTGATCTATAAAATACTGTAGATAAAGAAGCTGAGAGAAACCTTTTTGGTTCCCATTGAATAAATATCTTCCTTATAATATGTCTGTTTCTCCTAAGAAATTCAATACTTTGGACACTTGGAAAAAAAATTACAATTGGCTGTTATTGCTGTTGTTTATCTTATTTCACTTTTTCCCCCTGGATTTCCCTTCAGTAACCAGTTCAAGAAGTTCCCTCAGATGACCTCATACCACCGGATGCTATTACACCGAGTAGCTGCCTATTTTGGGATGGACCACAATGTTGATCAAACTGGGAAAGCTGTCATCATCAACAAAACCAGTAACACAAGAATGTAAGGGAGGAAATTACAAATTGGGAAGACTTTCCTGGGATAACCTGCTGGGTGGAAGAGGAAGGTCTTAGGATCAAGAAGTCTCTTCCAGGGGAGGGAATGGAGGGGTTATATCATCAATTGCTATTCTTTGTGAGGCCTTGGAGATAGATTCTAGAGGAACTGGTGTTTTGTGAAGGCTGGCCCTAGCCTCTCTTCACCTTCACTGATAGGACAGGTAAAACTTTGGAGGAAGAGAAGTTATAGATGGATAAAGAACAGAGCCTGAAGATTGCATTAAAACCTTCATGTGACTTTTTGGATGCCTGAATCCAGAAATTCCCTGAATCTTTGAGTTGTGGAATTTAGGAGAGCTATATATGGGAGGTCTGCTTCCTAACAAAAGGGTCTTTGTCCTCCCTTCCTTCCACATTTCCCTCTAAATCCCAGCCCTGAACAGAGGTTCTCAGAACATATAAAGGATGAGAAGAATACAGAATTTCAACAGAGATTCATTCTCAAGAGAGACGATGCCAGTATGGACCGAGATGATAACCAGGTGAAGAATGGAAAGGGGTGGGCCTATGGAGAGAGATTGCAGTAAGAGAAACTGGGAAGGGAGAAGAATTTTTGTGGGATAGAGAAAACTCAGAATATCTTAGTCTGGAAAAATGTCTTGAGCTATACTGAGTTGCCTTTGGCTTAACGTTGAGGACTGACTTTACTTGCTGAGCTGGATGCCACCCTCTTAGCCCCAGAGAGACATGGTGCTGAGGTTTGCTGGGTAATCTCATTTGGCCTGGAACTCCTTAGGTCTGCCGCTGGTTTCTAATGCCACGTCATTTTGGATAAAGCAAGGTCCCTCTCTGCCTCAGCCTTGATCCAGCTGATGGTTTCATTCTTTTTTTCTTTAATAGTTAGGGATTTCTTTGGGAACCGCAAAAAGCTACTTTAACCCACTTCTACTCTTATCCTAGCTCAGGGCTAGCCCTGAACTGGCAAAGTTGTGATCTAATTTGCCCAGTTATAAAGGTGTTTCTGATCCCTTTCTGCAAACTCCTTAATCTTTTCCCGGCTCTTTCCACGAAGGTGAGTGAGTTAATTTGACTTTTGATGCTGGGAACCTCAGGCAATATCCTCTTTGTGATCCACTGCTATGGGAATAAGAAGTGAACACCTGTCCTGTCCCTTTATTTATGGGCCTGACCTCTAGCCCACCCGTTAGATAGTAAGTGATCATTTGGGGGTCAGTTTTCCTAGCTAAGTAGAGGATTTAGATCCAGCCTGCTTCTGCTTGGCCTCCAAAGGGGATTAGATTTGAAGAGTGTGGTTGTGTAGAACCAATATGAGGCTTGCTAATTAATGATAATTTTCATAATATCTTACCTCTAAAGTCAAAATTGATTTTCTTGGGATATTGTATGGTCTTGAGACCAGGACCTTTCCTGCTTGCTACTTGAGTATTTGAGGGAGTCCTTTTAAGAAAAGCGCCATTATCTATTGTGGACAAACATGCTGGGTCTGATTGAAAACAAAGAAAAATACAAAATGACAAAATTTTAAAAACAAGAAAGAGCCTTTCCATCCTGATGCCCTTCTCTCCATTTTCCCAGAACCATTTTTCTGTGGATCAGGAATTACTCAGGCCTAGAGGCACACTGGGGCAGAGTAGAATCTGTCCCTATTGTGAACTTTTCATCTCTCAGCTTCAGGCTTGATCCATAATAGGTAGACTCTGTATACTGTCTGTCTATGATATTAATAATAAGCATAGTAATTGCTATTTTATTGAGTGTTTTCCCTGAACTAGGCTCTGTTCTAAACATGTTCTATGCATTATCTCTTTCAATCCTCTTCACAATCCAATGTAGATGGGGGTTATTATCCCCACTTTACGTGTAAGAAAACTGAGGCTAAAAGATGTTAAGTTACTTGCCTAAAGTCATATTACTGGGAAGTGGCAGAGCTTAGATTCTGCCTGACCGCAAAGCCCATTATGCTCTTTCTATTCTGCCATTGGTCTACCAGTGCTAGGGGCTGAGGACAGTATATATAGCTCCTTGAGGTCTTATGTCTTCTTGGAGTGGAATTTATAGAAGAACATTTTAGTAAGATTTATGTTCTTAAGGCTAGCGAGAACTAAATCTAGTTCAAGTTGATATTCCTGAAGTCATGGCTACCTCTGGAGATTGGTGAAGATCAGCCTAGAGCAGCAGTCTCCTTGGTTGCTTCATCTGAAGCTTTCAAAGCCTCTGTATTGGAGGTCAGAATCTTTCATAACCTGATGACATTCATTTGATGAGTTTTCTCTCTGAACTCCTTGCCTTTAAGAGCGTTATGGAAAAGGATACTCTGTTATACCCTACCCCAGGCAGCATTCACAATCACAAGCCAAGAGAGGAAAGGCAGTGATGGGGAGTTAGGTGTTAGGCCAGTCAGAGGTGGTGATCAGCCCAGCCATCCCTTCTAGTCACCTCACTACATTTTCCAGAGAATGTAAGGTTCTCTATCCTCCACTCCTTTCTTTCCCTTCTATGTCTCTGTTTCGCCCCTCCCTCCATTGTACCTTATTTGTCTGTTCCTCACTCTGTCCATCTTTCTTCCTATTCTATTCTCCTTTCCTTTTTCTTCTCTTTGTGTTACTGTGTTCTTTCTTCTGTATTTCTGTAATTTCTTTCTCTCCTCCTCTCTCTCCAGTTAAGATGAGAAAAAGAATGCTTAGGCTTTGAGTTTAGCTTCCCCCTTGGTATTTCACTTCCAAGGCCCTCTTTGCTGAGCTGTGTGTGACTTGGGTCTTCTTCAGGCCATGGCATTAGTGACTAAAGAAGAAATAATGTCAAGTGCTAGATCTGTAAACCTCCTCCTCTATGTTACCTGTTTCTTCTCCCTCTAGCTTCCTTCTGTCCCTTGCTTTCCCTCTAAAGCAATGTTGTTTATTTTCCCAGGGCTTTTTTTCTTGATCCTTACTGACTGGAGGGTACCTGATTACTACAGGGAAGCAACCCAGTCCTTATAAATAGTTGTCATTCTTGATAGTTTGGGGGGTTGGGGGGTGGGAAGATGGAGTCCCCAACCATCCAGAAAACCTGATCTCCAAAACTGCATGGTCAGATGTACCCAGTGAAACCTGTCCTGGACTGGAATTTTATTTCGTTTTTTTTTTCCACTTTTTTGATGGCAACTATAAACTTTCCCGGTTTCTCTTCCTTGCTGGTGTGCAGTGAGCTTGCAGTACGAGGAGAACTTAACTAGCTTAATTCTGCTCATCGATCTAGATCAGAGTTCCATTGCAGGATGGAAGGAGGAGCAAGTCAATAGAAGAGAGAGAGGAGGAATATCAAAGGGTCCGAGAGAGAATATTTGCCCGAGAGGTAAGTGTAGCATCTGAGAGTTGTCAGCCCATAGCTTTTAGCTCTTAATCTTTGGAACTGTCAATGGAATGAACCCTCCATAAATGTTTTTGGGTTTGTTTGTTTGTTTTTTTAACCAACATCAGCCAGCTCCAGATTTGATCTCTAAAATTAAAAGTGGCTTATTGGGAAGCTGCAGATAGTCATTTTTATTATTTTTAATACATTCTGCCATATGGCAAACAAAGAGAACTAAAACTTGGAGTGGCTGAATTTGGTAAATATGACTAGACTGAAAATAGAAATGGTTTTGGCAGGGCTTGTAGATGGGCCCTGAATCTTGCCTGTGAAACCCTCCTCCTGCTTACCCTCTTTCACTCCCACTGTCCATTTTAGGCATCTTTGCTTCTGAGTGGAAGATGTAGTGTTCACACAGGCTATACATTCATCTTGTTTGACCAGCCTGGTTTTTAGGATATGTTGGTTATTGTTAGAGCATAGGTAAGGCATCCATCCTCTTTGAGCTCCACATTCTGCATGCACAGAGGGTACCACTATTCCCTCCAGTCTCTACTTGAACAGGAAGTCTCTTTCTTCCTATATTTCTTACCTTGCCTTCTAGAACAGGACTGGCTCCTTGGGCGAACTGCCAACGTGAATCAGTTTAGACAACTTTATTCTTAACAGTTGTGGTCCATATCAAATATACTTGGTACCTCTGTGTCTGGTTGCCTTTGCCCACCAGATTGAAGATAAGGATGGGAGAAATTCAGAAAAGGGTGTGGATAGTCAAGAGAGGAACAAATCTCCAGAAAATGTAGGATCCAGATAGCAGCACCGTCTCACAGACTAGCAGCAAAGAAGGGAAGGCCATTCTCCCTCCATTCTCAAAAGATGGTCAGTTATAATCCATATCCTTAAATGGACACTCCTCTCCTCCCATTCCCCAACTCTCCCTTTTCTCAGCAGGACAAAAAAAAAATATATATATATATCTTTTCATAATCACCTCACGCAGAAAAACATTGTCTCCAACTAAAAACTGAATTCCTTTATGTACTTGCTTCATTGTCTCAGGAGACCCAAGTTCTTCCAGAGATCCTCACTGGGGACTGATACATGACAAGCCTTCTGGCCCAAAGTCCAAGGAGAAGGAATCTTCTTACCTTCTGTTATATAGTCTTCCATTCTGAGTCAGAAAAGTACGTCCTCCAAATTATGCAACCATAGCCCAAAGAAAGTTCTCTACCTTTACCTACAAACCATTTGGGTGGAATGAGAGGAGACATGTCATTTGTACGTGACTGTGGCCAGTGATGACCCTAAATTGTGAACAGAGCAGGTTGGTGGATAATAATAGCAAACACTTATATAGTGCTTACTATCTTTCAGACGTTGTTCTTACATAAATTAACTCACTTAATCCTCACAGAAGGCCTATGAGGTAGGTTACCTTATTTTCCCCATTTTATAAATAAGGAACTGAGGCACAGAGAGGTTAAGTAACCACTTAAGGTCACACTACTAGTTAGCAAAAAAGCTAGGTATCTGAATTTAGGCAGTCTGGCTCCAGAGTCCATGCTCTTAACCCCTGATGTATACCACCTCTCAATCGTTTACTCTGCTCTGGGCTCTTTAGATTAAGAAGTGCTAGTGACATCATAGTCTAGCTAACTATGTGATATGTTCTTCCACTTCACTTACATGTGGAAAATGACTGCCCCTCTATGCCAGCCATTAGCAAAGCCACAGATGTTCTGAAAGCACAGATGACTTATAGTAGGGTATTAGAGCTAATTCACAACACTGAATATATCTATCTATGACCATAACAAAGGCAAATTAGCTCTTCTCTCCTTTTTTTCTCCTGATTTCTAGTTTCTAAAGCCTCTACTAATATATGTTTTATTTGTTAAATCCTTGTGGATTTATCACTTTCATTTCAGCACTTCATAACTCTTGTTGTAGTAGAGGCATCAGGACTCTCAGAAGATCTAGACAAGGAACGATAGCCAAAGCCCATCATACTCCAAAGATCCCAAGTGGAGAGGAGCCTGGCCAGTCAAAGGGAGCTGATTAGGGGTGGAGTTGTAGGTCTGGGGAATGAGGGTAGGAGCAGCTGGCAGGCCAGAAAGAAAGGAAAGTGGCAAGAAGGGTGTTTGGATGGAAATGCTGCTGCTGCAGCCTTCTATGGAGCCTGAGCTGTGTATTGAGAAAGCTGCCCAACACAGGCTCTGCTCTGCACGGAGCCCGTTCTGCTCAGCAGCTGGACACTCTTGTTACGTTTTGCTAAGGCTTGGGAGTCCACCACAATGCTCACTTCACTCAGCTCAGTGGCTTTGTCAGGAAATGATCCCCAAGGGGAATGTTTCAGGCTTTTAATTTTCTCATTTTCTCTAGGCTCTGAAAAGTACCTGCTTCCCCAATATCCCACCCTCCTTGGGTCTCAGGACAGAATGTCTTTCATTTTGGCCAGTGTAGAAGATAGAAATGAAATAGCTGTTGAGGATAATTTCCAAAAAATGATGTTTCTTTCTCTTGTCTCCCTTTTCCCTTCCTTTGGATACACTGTTTAGGACCAAGCACACCAATTATTACCCTAGCTTACCTCTAGACCAGTAAATTTAGAGCTAAAAAGGAAATAATCATTAGGTTAATACTTTGTTCTTCCTCCTTTCCATACTTCTACCTTTATCAACCTCTCTTTTTAAACCCTCTGTGGGAAGACTAAAAATGCCAAATGCTCTTTCCCATTAAAGGTGAGAAGTCAGACTGGGTGTGTGGGTGTGGGTCATCCTGTCCCTGCTCCCTCTCTCCTTGTTGGTGGGGTGAGCTTTGGTTTGAGGACCTTGGGTATTCATAGCATCATGGACATCCTTTTCGGTTATGCCATGCTGTTTTCTTATAAGTTATTTTCCGTTTTCTCCCCTTCACCTAGACTGGCCAGAACGGATATCTAAATGACATCAGGTTAGTACCACTTAGCATGTTCCCTGCTTCTCATTGAGCTTTGTCAGTGAGGTTAATATAATCCTGTAATGATGCTTTTCTTTGATGTTAACCAACAGACTCTCCAAAGAAGCCTTTTCTTCTAGCTCTCACAAGAGAAGGCAGATTTTTAGGTACCTCTGTGTGGTCTATATCTCTTCTTTTTATTTTTAATTTTATTTTGTTTTGCTGTAATCTTTTCAGCGGAGTGGGTTTGCTCCATGCATGGCTGCTTGTGGAATAATTAAATTTGTGGTTTTTGCAACATTGGAAATTTTTCCCCATTAAAAAAATGGCTCCTGCTCAATGATTTTATTTTTATTGTTGCCAATTTCATTTTGAGTCCTAAATAGGTGGTGAAGGGGACTGAATAGGTGTGTCTAGGATAGGTACTGCTCCCTCCCAGAAGTTTGCAGAAATTGGGAATTTTTGAGACTCAGACATGTTTATAGTAAGGTAAAAGAATGGGTGTCTTCTGGCTACCTTTTCTAAATCTATGGAAAGATGTAGAGAGCTTATCCCTGACCCAGCATTAGGAATGTTTCATATATTTAAGAAAAAATAGTACATACACATATATAGAAACGTACACAAACACCTCTGTCTATGTAGTTTTCTCTTTGAGACAATGTAATGTGTAATATGATCTCAGAAAAGCCCTAAAGGACCTGTCTGCCTTAGAATGGACTTAAAGCATGTCCTTTATGTGATTGTCTATTACTTGCTCTTTTTTTTTGGAGACAGAGTCTTGCTCTGTTGCCCCAGCTAGAGTGCAGTGGTGGCATCATCGTAGCTCACTGCAACCTCAAACTCCTGGGCTCAAGCAATCCTCCTGCCTTAGCCTCCTGAGTATCTGGGACTATAGGCTCATGCCACCACACCCAGCTAATTTTTCTATTTTTTGTAGAGACGGCATCTCACTCTTGCTTAGGCTGGTCTTGAACTCCTGAGCTCAAGCAGTGCTAGGATTCCAGGCGTGAGCCACCCCACTGGCCCATTACTTGCTCTTAATGCTGGTGAAAGCTGCTGTATTAATATCCTCAGTGCCTAATATTCTCCATTTTCCCACAAAACAATTATAGGAATCTTTCATTTCAGTCTCTCAGTCCCACCCTAGAGGATAATACAAGGCAGTGATGAGAGAAAGCACTACTTTAGGGCCCTGTCCTGGTACCAACTCATTTTAAGTATATTCTTCCCTTTTTGTGACAGAAAAACTGTAGAATACAGAGAATCTAAATATTTAACAATAGGATTTAGGTCTAGCCCTTTCCAAAATGTTTCTCTCTTTTTGAATACTGTACTTAAAAGGGACTATCTGACTAACTCAAACTGGAGATCTCATTTCTGCTTTAGTTGTCTTTTCCCTATTGTCCTTTCTAAAGCTAGTCAAACTATGTGGAAATTGGGATAGCAAGATTTCCTGTTTTTGATGTGGAGGATGTTCCATCTTTATCCTAGGCTATTTTGCCCTTAGGTCCATTTGAAAACCCCAGGCAGAGAGGGCCTCGCATTGGTGGTGGTGGTAGAGACAGATAGAATCCCACCATGTTTAAAAAAAAAAAATTTCGTGCTCCACAGTCTACACTTCAGGATCGTAGATCATCCCAGAATACCTATAATAAAAGAAGTTTCAAGCCAACTCCTGTGTGTGAATTAATGTACAGTGCCTTACAGTTGCCAAAGGATACTTTATCTGATTCAGTTCTCTCAACATCCTGATTTGATCAGCTGGTTTACATCTAAGAAAATAAAAACAGATTAAGTGGCTAGCCCATTTACATGGCTGTTAATGGCAAAACTGGAGCTGATTCTTTGTCCAATGTTCTTTTCACTACACCGTACCAACTCTCTACAAATGTCACCCCATCCTCTCTGAGTAGTGTTCTATTCAGAATCCTAATCCAGATTCACTGCTAAGAATTATGCCCTTATTAGTGCTGTGGAACATCAAACTGTGCAGATAATAGCTCGAAGAATCTAGTGAGCAGGTGCAGCCCTCTCCTCGCCAGACCTCCTTTTAAGCTGCTACTTTTCAAACTTAGCTTTGATTACAGATGTAGGTCATCCAAAATGCAGCCTCATGGGCTCTTAAGGGGGTGACTTTTCCCTCTATTTGGATACTAGTCCATAGCTGTAATGATCAGAAGCTGATCTTCTCTAACTGCTTTTTTTTTTTTTTCCCGAGACAGGGTCTCACTGTGTTGTCCGGGCTAGAGAGGGCAGTGGCGTCATCAAAGTTCACTGCAACCTCAAGCACCTGGGCTAGCTATCCTCCTGCCTCAGCCTTCCGAGTAGCTAGGACTACAGGCGTGCACACCTATGCCTTGCTAATTTTTCTATTGTTTATAGAGACGAGGTCTCGCTATGTTGCTTAGACTAACTGCTTTATAACCTTTCTGCCCCAGTTTATGTTTGTGAAACAAATACCTGTATATCAAATTCCATCATCCACATTGGCAATAATTATGGCAATTTCCCAGCTCTTTGGAAAATTTTACTCCATTGATAAATAAGCCACAGTGAGGCTTACTGTTACTTATTACCACCTCTTCCACAGGCCTCTCCACCCACTCCCCAGACTCAACACTAAATCTACTTGTAGAAGCTAAATCAGCTCTGATTTTACAGGAGAATGAGATGTGAATGCTCTTTGTCCTGTACCCCCATCTCTCCAGCACACACAACCCAGTTCAGTGCTTAGAATTGAATCCGAATAGCTTTTCCAAATTGCCTTCTTTTTAATGAAGTATAGAGACATGACTAGAGATTGATTAGGTTTATTTGTAGAGAGGGAAAACTGATCTCCTTCCTGCCAAGATTTAACTTAGTTCCTCTGACTCTCAGGGCAGTAGTGTCCTCACCTAGGTCAGTCCGAAGATCATCAAACAGTTCACATTTATCACTGTCTTGGGGGAACTGGATGAGTACAGAAGTGCTGTCATTTTGGCCCTAGCTTCCCAAGGTATTTGGTTTAAAGTTGCCTGTTCCCTGTCTACCTCTGGTAACAAGAGAAAGTAAATGGGGGGATTGCTCTAATAGATAGCGAAGTGTTTGATTTAGGTGGAAAAGGCTATGAGGACTTGTCTTGCAAAATTCAAGCTCTAGTGTCTAATGAGCAGCCTCATCCATTGCCAGTTTTGTATCCCCTTATCCCAGAAACACGTGCATTTTTATTGAGCCCTTTCAGTATGCTTACCTTTGTCCATTGGGACAGAGCTATTGGCTCTTACTTTAGGTCTGATTCTGTTCCTAGTAAATACCTAATGTATACTTCTTTCTTGTTTCCCATTCTACTTTGACATTCTAAGAGAAAGGGGTAAAATTTTGGGGAAACAGGAATATCTTCTACTCTATTCTAACTATATACAGAGAAGCATTAACATTTTTTATGTGTGTGTGTGTGTGTGTGTGTGTATACACATATATATGTATACACACACACCCACACACCTACTTAGGGTTGCAGAGAAGAATTAGCATGTTTCTAACCAGCTGTGCCAGTGTGTGCTTAGCTCACTGTCGTTGGCTTGGCTAAAAACTAAAAATGTGACCCTAGCATGTATTTTGCTCATTTTCCCTACAGTGTCTTTGGAGTAGGTATTCTAATAAAGAAAGGTGCTTTCTTTAATATTAATCCACTTAAGAGAAACACCTTTCTTTATTAGAATAACTCTGAGCCTAGTGTCTTTAGAGCTAAGGAGATTGGGATGGGGTTTTCTATTTGCTTTTGGCAGGATGGTGGTGAAAAGGAGGGAGCCCAAACTACAATGATTTTTGCTTAATTGTTCTCAGTATACATACCAAAATCTTTGTAATTGTTGTCATTTGGTTTCCTTAGGTCATTAGTTGTTGGGGGGGTGTTAAAATTGCTGGCTCTTGGTTGCTTATTGATTAAGAAGCAGTAAGAGCTCAACAAGACAGGGTTTTCAGGCCAACCTCACTATCTTGAGGCATATAGCTGTTTATAGTCATAGACAGTGATTGTAACATCAGGATAACCCTGATGTTTCCAGAGCAAAATAAGAGAGGAAGAACCCCTTTTCTTAATAGCTTTGCCTAGGGCAATAGGATTACGAATATGGAGGCAACTAGGCCCAATCAACCCCCCTGCCCCTTGCCATCCTGAATCCCAAGGGCATATTTGCTTGATCTTGCTGAGGACCTCAGCCCTTAGAGACCCTTGAACCAGTTGTTCCCAGACACTAACATAGAACTTCCACAAAACAGGTTGGGTCAACTCCAGACTTTGAGACTGTATTTTCCAGAGTGCCCCTTTAGTCCACTATACTCTTCTTCCAACCCCTGGAAAGATGGCCATAAGCAGCACCTCTGCTGGCTTGACACATGTTATGTGGAAGACCTGTTGTGGGATTTACCCATGTCATTGGCTACTTCTGCCTTCTGGCAATAGTAACTTCTAGGAGTCCTTCTGCTTTAAGAACTCCCGGAAGGAACTGGTATTCCTCTCCTCCCCACTATTTCCTGCATGTGTGGGACTCCCCTTAGGGGTCGGGGAAGAGACCACAGCCAATCTCAGCATCATGTATGTGGTTTCCCATCCACCTCTGGTCTGATGTATTGAATTAATTGCCAGTTCACTGTCTTCCGGATTTGCCTCTGTGTTATTTGTTACTGTACTAAATCTTGTTCTGTCTGCTCCCATCAAGTCTTAGTTGGCCAACCAACTAACAAGAAGTCAGTGTCCATCCTCCCCCTAATCCTCACCCTTTCTTTGTTATTGAGAGAATAGAAATGAACTCTCTCCTAGCCCTTCTGCTAAAGTGGTGGGTGGGGGGTGCTCTGACCACTGTGGTCTCTGCAGGGGGAACCGTGAAGGGCTGAGCCGCACCTCAAGCAGCCGCCAGAGCAGCACAGACAGCGAACTCAAATCCCTGGAGCCACGGCCTTGGAGCAGCACAGACTCTGATGGCTCTGTCCGGAGCATGCGACCCCCTGTCACCAAAGCCAGCAGCTTCAGTGGAATCTCTATCCTCACCCGAGGTGACAGCATTGGCAGCAGTAAAGGTGGCAGTGCAGGAAGGATCTCCAGGCCAGGTACTACAGCTTCTTTCCTTCCATGTCATATCCATCCTTTCCTGTTTGTCTTCTTGCTTGTGTAATCAACTGTCATATCACTGATATTTATTTTTAATAAAACACTTATCCCAATATAGTTTCCGGGAAACCTAACACAGCCGGAGGGGGATTTGATATTTTAGATCCATTGTCCTTTCTTGTATCTAGTCCCCTCTCCCAATTTTTTTCAAACCTTCTGCCCTGATTGAAAAAAAAAAAAAAACTTATTGGGATTAGATTATTTCATCTGACTTTTGACTAAGGTGGGAATTCCTGTCAGCCCAGGTTCAGGTTATGCACTAAGATGAAAATGATAGCTGCTTTCATTCTGTGTCCCTGAAGATTATAAAGAGGCTTTGTAGAGGAGAGGGATCCCACAGAGTTTAGCTGTTTGTTATTAGTTGGTAGCAGCCAGTAGGCTAGAACTTAGAGGGATGTTGCTCTGGCTGCTTCTCTGGAGTTCAGTGACTGGAAGGAGCAAACACTCACGAAAGCCCTATAATCATCCTTGAGCTCACCTGATCTACTGCACAACCCTCTCCATCTATTGCTGCTGCACTCTTAACAGGAGAGTATTTAGCTCTCTATACCTGCTAGACCTCTATTTCACCAACCTCCTCTCTCTGAAGAACTGTTTGAACCTCATCTCAGAAGTTGTGTAGGTCTTATCCCCAGTAGACATCAGTAGTGTTGAAGATTTTGCTTCTGACCCTTAGGTTTATACTGCCCTCCTGTTACCTCCTTTCTAATCCCATGTCTCTGCCTTTATTCAGACCTTTCTTTTCTTTTCTTTAATTATGACACTAGCTCCCAGGCTGATCTCCCTGTTCTGTTTTCAGCCCTTTTTAGAGCCGATTTACCAATCTAAAACATATCTAAACATATCAGTCCTTCATTTCTGTATCACCTACGCAATAAAGTCCAAACTACTTCATATAGCATAACTTCCTGACTCTGGTTTGCCATTGCAGTCTTATTTCCAGATATCTATCCTCCAGATATCAGCCCTCCAACCATTTCTTGAATATGGCATTAGCTTCGTCTTCTCAGTCTGACAAGCTCTGTTCATCCTTCAAACCCAGCCCTCCTGCCACCTCCTTTTTAAATCCTTCCTTGAGAGCTATTGCTTCCTCATCTTTACTTTCAAACAACTTTGTTGATATCGTTGATGTATCCCTTATCCTTATTAGATTGTAGTAGGTATGTGGATGTTCATCTCCCATCAGAAGATCCTGTGCTGCTTAAGGGCAAGAACTGTGTTTTGTTCACCTTTATGTCCTCAGTTCATTACACAATGCCTGGCACATAGTAGATATTCAGTGAGAGTATATTGTGTGAATGTGTTCATGCCTTGGAGAGCCTGGAAATAGGAAAAATAGTTGAGTAATGGTTATGTGTATGTGTGTGCTCAAGCATGTACTTGAAGAGCCAAGGTTGTCTTCTCAGCAACTTATATAAGAGATGCTGCAAGTTGAGAAGAAAGCAAAGAGAAGACAGGTCCCTTAAGGGATCAGGAATCTGTACCTTCCCAGGAAGTAAGCATTCATGTTTTCTAATCATGATGGACAGATTCTAGGTACTTCAGGGGAGGTGCCTTGGCAGCCTCATATTTTGTCCAATTCCAAAGCTAGACATTGACAGTCAAGGTGGTCCCTGTCCCTGGGGAGTAGAAACCTGCTAAGATAAGGACTCCCATCAGCAAGGCAGCTAAAATTTATCTGTGCTCATGTGTGGGTCTTCCAAATGCAGTGGGGGAGTGAAGACTAAGGGCAAGGAAAAAGTAGAAACCTACAACTACACCCTCCAAGGGTAGCATGTTCATGGTTTGTGCTTACAACTTTTGGTGGGTCTCCTCTTTGCCTTAGGTATGGCACTAGGTGCCCCAGAAGTGTGCAACCAGGTCACCTCATCCCAGTCTGTCCGGGGCCTTCTCCCTTGTACTGCCCAGCAGCAGCAGCAGCAGCAGCAGCAGCAGCAACTTCCTGCTCTCCCACCCACGCCTCAGCAACAGCCACCCTTGAGTAATCACATGATCTCACAGGTGAGTCACCACTCAGTGTCAGAGCCCCCTCCATTCTGATTCAAGCAAGCTCTGGAGTACAGTCATGTCTCTTATCCTGTGGGTGGCAGGAAGGATTAGTTTTTGGAGACATGCCATTCCCTCTCCCATTTCTCATTTATTAGTTGTAGGGAGAGAAGAATAAGGGCAAAGGTTTGGCCAAAGTACTCTTAGCACAATCAGCCTGGGAGTTTTTTGCTTTATGTTTCTTCCTCTTTGTCCTGAGAATTGTCAATAGGATTTTATCCCACACCACATTTCTTCTGTACCCCATCTCCCTCTATATCCTGTGTAATTAGCAAGGTAATTTTTTTCTCCATATCCATATGTGGAACTTGAAAAGATCAAAGCTCCCACCGTCATCTGACTTACTATGTTGATCCATAAACATATATTTATGTGTCAGGGTTTGTGGGGAAAAGAAATGACACTCAAGACCCCTGCCATACATATGCCACAAGACACAAAAACCTGAATGTTGTCTTTGTTTCCCATACCATAAAAGGGCTATATCTTTTTCCTTCTGTTGCTAGACTGGTAGATGTTGATACGAACTAGGGTTTGAGTGAAGTTTTGTTTCTGTGGAGACCATTAAAGTCATCAGCCTAAGAATCAGGTCCTATTCTAAACTGGAAACTCAGTGTTCTAGGTTTAAAGTTCACCTTAATACTCTGACTAGAGCCATGCTGAGATCTTCACTTATTCTTTTCTCCCATTAATACAGCTCTTCATGTGTAGAGCCCCATATTTTATCCTGAAGTATTCTCTGGTAGTCAGGAAGCCCGTGTGTCTACATTCTTTTCTGCTGCAGTTTAAGTTCTCAGTTCACCTCCCAGAGCCCCTCACTCGCCTGCTCAGTTAGTCCCAGTTTGGCCTCAGATGTATTTCTTCCCTAGGTACAAGAATCAAGTCCCAAGCACTAATACTCCAGAAACTGGAAACTAGAGTGGAAAGACCACAGAATGGCCCAGTACTGCCCTATCTTAAATATTATGAAACAAAGCTAAAATACAGAACAGTGAAGATCTAGGAAATTCTGCTTTGTGTCTAAATGTAACCCACATGCAAGTCATTCCAGTCCTTCATCTTAGTTCCTAACTCAATTTCTCTGTAGTCCTGACTTTCTTGTTCTACCACCATTCTACCCCATTAAGTCTCATTCATATCAGCTTACCTGACTTCCTGCTAAAGCATGGCATGTGTGTGTGTGTGCTTTCCTCTTCTTATTTTAATTCAAACCTGTAAGTGGATAAACTCTGTGCTTCTCTCCTTCTGGCTATCTCCTACTGTGTTTTTGTATGTGTATGACTTGCTTCCCCAAGGTCCCAGTATTTTCTAGTTTTTTCCCTAAAATGTGTGTATTTTTATACAGTCTTGCTCTCTTTTCTTCTTCGTAGTCTTCCATCCGCCTCCACCTTTCACCTGCCATCCACACCTAGAAACAGACAGCAAGAGTGGGAAAAGAATAAAGAGATAAGAGAATAACCATTGGGGAATAAAATTTTAGACAGAATGTCCAAATGATGGGCCCTAAACCTCAAACTTCTACTCAGGTTTTGTTGCTGCTACTGGATTATGAGAATCAGTTGGTCAATTATTGGTATTGACTTACCTTCTGAGTGTGGTGCCAGGTTAGGGGCTATAGCTTAGGGATAAGGGAGCATTGTTTGGTGTAGAGTTCTCTGTTCCCTTAGAAATTCATTCTTGAGATTAATTGCGATCAGTATAAACTGAAGAATCTTATCCAGGTAATTTTTGGTGTCTTGGAAGCATTTATGGAAGCTGCTAAAATTATACCACCACCACCACACTGTATATATCTCCTTTTTTCTTCCTCTGTACTTTTTTTCCCTCTCTGTTTTTTTCTTCCTCTTCCTACTGCCATTTTCTTTCTTTCTTTTGTTTTCTTTTTCCCTGACTGGCTCACAGCATGGGGGGCTCTCCAAACTGAAGTTGCTGAGCCCAAGAATAATTATCGATCAGTTTCTCAAATGGCACATGATAGTGCAGGGATTAGGATGTGACCGCACACACATACTACTGTGCTTACTCTAAAGCTTTTCCTTTAGAGAAACTTTGAGAAAAGGTAGTTACCTTTAATTCTGTAGCAAGAGGCATTTGCCCCAGGCCTAAGAACAGTGCTGGCTAAACCATGCTCTTTCCCTTCTTGGCAGGCCTCTGTCTGAGCAGGCCCTCATGTCATATCTCAGTGAAGCATATGAAACCAAGGGGAGAGGCTGAGGATTAAAGGACCAGTGGTTTCCTTTTGCCCAATTTACTTAAAACAGAGTGGACCCCTTAAAAAGGAGCCCTCTGAGCCTCTGTCCTGTTGCCCTTAGGCATTCACGAGCCAGTGATCTAGCCCGGAATTCACCAGTAGGTGGCAGCCCCATCCCTCAGGGCCAGTCTTGTCTTTTCTTGTCTTTTTTTTGTTTGTTTGTTTTGTTTTTATAAATTTCCCTGTGGTTTCCCAGAGGTACCCTGGCTCTTGAGTTTAAGATTTTTTAAGAAGAGAACTATAGCTAAGGGTAGCTGTGGAATAACTAGAAAATAGCACTGAAACCCCTTCTGTGTTCCACTGCCCTTCCCCAGTTAGGGGAGGCCTCAGAGAGGAACATCATTTCTTCTCACTTTACTCTTTATTCAAAACTCACAAGTGGAGGAAAACAGGCAGAATTGTTTTACCACTTTACTTTACTTTCACCCCTGAGTATATAAGGCCTGAACCAAGTTAGCCTCCCCCAAGAAAAAGAAGAGGATTAGGATAATAGAAAATGTGTATGAAAGCCACCAGCATAAGCAGCTAATGCTGAGCAGCTTGGCCATAAGTTGTACTTGGAATGCCATTGGCTTGCAGAAAACAGGTATGCCAGTAGAGCTAAGAGTTTATTTTCAAGGCTATAGCAGCATCTCTCCCAGGTCACACAGTGGATTCTCAGTAATTTTTCCTAACCAAAATGACTTGCATTTTATTTAATCCGATATTGGGTCCCTTGCTGAGAAATCCAGAGTATTCTCCATGTTTGGGAGTCTTCTAATTCCTGCACTCTCTGCCTCCTGAACTGTTAGTCCTCTCTGTAAAAGAATTTCTCTGGAGGTATGTGGCAGGAGAGGATATTGATACCATGGCATCTATACCTCTTAATACTCTAAGTGAGAAGGGAAGAGCCTGTGGAAGATGTTTGGACATTCTGTTTGACTTCTTCCTTCACTTCGCCCCCACTGCTAGAGTGGAGTGGGAAGAACATATATCAGGCAGAACTAGGTTTCAATCCCAGCTCTGCTGTATCAACTGTGTGAGCCTAGATGAGTGATTTAATTTCTCTGAGCTTTACTTTCTTAATTGCAAATGCAAGTTATCATATCTCCCTATAGGATTCTTATGTGAAGCTGAAATGAGACAATATATATAAATGCTAATATATGTAATGAGACAATGTATATAAATGCTACTTCCAACCTCTTCCTCTCCTTTCTCCTCCCATCCTTCCCACCGCCAGTGGCTATGACTGGAGAAATGATCAGGTGATCAAAATGGCTGGAGGGGAAGAAGGGAGAGAAAAAAATAACTGCCCATTAGTTGGTTTAGAACACTCCATGTTCCTAATAAACAAATCCTCCTGCTTGAGGCTAGTGAAGGGACTAAAGGGACTAAAACTAAAACCAGGCTATTTATATTTTATTCCAAAATCTTCTGTGTTTGGTGGTGGTAGGTGGGGGTCATACTGCCCTCATGGCCTGGAGGAACACAGAACAAGCATGGAGCAGAAGAAAGTAGCCAGAAGCAGGCAGGAACCTTGGGTGTTTTTTCTTTCTCTGCCCTTGGGAGGGAGACAATGCTTGTGAATGAGCACTTCCTCCAGGAGAGCTATGGTGTGAAATCAGAGCGTGGCTGAGCCAAACCTTGGATGCCCCTTCCTACGGTGATGTAGACAGGAGTCTCTTCTCAAATGAGCATTCGAGGAGGATTCTGATTGTGCTCCCCAGGAATTGTGTGTTCAGAAAAAATGCTTTGGGAAAAGCTGTGTTTGGGATCAGGTGGCAGATCTTGGCAATCCTCAGATTGCTTACAATAGCTGCAGAGTTCTGAATGGCCAATGGGATGGAGAGTGCTGGGGTCTCTCTGGAGAGATTGCCTGTTTGTCAAAGAGACATGAAATGCACAAGCCCTCCCAGGCTTGGCCACAGGCACACCCAGCAGCCTTGCTATTCATGTGAAGTTTCTTTTATGATTATTAACTTTGTTGTTCCTTCCCTTTCCCTCCCCATCTCTGCCCTCCTGCCTCTTCCTGTGCCTACCTTTTCTCTTCCCTTTCCACATGCCTCTCTGCTGGTCCACAGCCAGTCCCGTCTCTGCAGCCCTCTCCGCAGCCTGTTCAGTTCTCTCCAAGCTCCTGTCCCCAAGTCCTTCTGCCAGTCTCTCCGCCCCAGCAGTACAACATGGTATAAACTCCATTCCCCCTTTTTGTCTTGTCCATGTGTGGCCTGTATCTGTGGGTATGCCTGGGTCAGTCCGTGATGGCCTTGCAAGCTTGTTGTGCTTTTGGAGGGCATGTTGGAAACTGTTCCTTCTTAAGGGGCCAGCACAGGCTGAACTATACTCCATTTTAACGGCCTCATCAAAAGACGCCTAAATATGAGACAGAGGAACACTGAGTTCCCACAAGTTTCAGGAGGGGTAATGAAATTGGATGTTGGTATAACCTACGCTTCTCATCTCTCTGCCATGTACGTCCTTCATCTAATTTGTTCCCTAGACATGTCTGAGGAACCCAGTTTATTCTGAACAGAATGGTCCTCTATAACTTCCTTTAAAAGTAAAAACACAACCGCAGGCTTCTCTGGTACCACTGGTAAAAACTGAACTGTTCCCCTATTTTACCATGTCATTTTACATAAAAATGCCCTCTTCCACTGCATAGAACATGCTGTTTAAATTGTTTGTGTGATTAATACAAATCCTTTGACAATCTGATTTGCCTTGTAGCTGATAACTTACATCATGGTTATAGGAGCCCTGATTTTTTGCTTTGTGTTAATTATACCCCTAGCTTTAGCTTTTTCACTAGAATCCCCATTTCCTCCTACCTCTTATCTCCATTCTGAAAAGTCCTGGAATATGGGCCTCAAAGTAATCTGCAATCCAGGCCACTTGTCATCTACTCCTACCATTAAGGTGGCAAAAGAACTAACTTGAAGATCAGATCCCTGAAAATTGAATGAAACTACACAAAAGCATTATCTTTTGGTTTCTACTAGTTTATTTTGCAAAAGAACTCCTGCTCTGGCGTGTGTGTGTGTGTGTGTGTGTGTGTGTGTGTGCGCGCGTGCTGCGCGCGCGCGCCAGTTATTGTCAAGGGAGCAGAAGGGAAGAGGAAGCTAACAAACTCTAACCTATCACCATATGAGTGAGAGATCGAACACCATCACCCTTGCTGCTTAGGGTAGAGAGCTGAGAAAGAAGGTAATTACAGCCTGGCCAGTCAGTCTCATCCTCCAGTTTAGCCACTCACCCTGGCCACTTCTCAGAGGTGAGAATTGAAAGTGGTTTCTGAAGGGCAGAGAACTCTAGGCTAGTGTCAGAGAACAAAGGTGGAAATGACCTCGAGAGGGAGTAAGGAGATAAGCAGCAGGAGTGGGAGCCCCCAGTCCTGCTGCTGCATAGGCAGAGCTGTGGAGGCACATGAACCTAGCCACCGTGATCTGCTCAAGGTGTTATCTAGGTCCTTATATATTATAAAAACAGGACTTATGGCAATGTAGGGGCCCTGTTTGTGGTTGTGTGTATGAGGAAGACAAGAAATGGAAAGACTCTTATAATCGTTTTCTTTAACCCACTAGTTTGTAATCTTTTTCCATATATAGAAAATGTATCATTGCTCCCATCTCCTCAGGACTAACCCTAATAATGAGATCATAATCAGGGTGGCCATTGTTACCTCATGTGATAGGGAGACTGCTCTGGAGTTGGGCTTGAAACAGCTGGTCAATTCATAGCAATTTAAAATACCATATGACAGGCTTAGGGCTAAAAACCACCTCTTAGGGCACAGAGGCAGGACTATCCCAAATCTGTAGAGAGAATTGCTATTTCTGTTTGTGCTGATACAAGCCTCAGTCCTTGAGTCCCCTGCTCTCTCAACAGGCAGATGACCTCAGCAATCCCTTTGGACAAATGAGCCTTAGCCGCCAAGGCTCTACTGAAGCAGCTGACCCATCTTCAGCTCTGTTCCAGCCCCCGCTTATCTCCCAGCACCCTCAGCAGACTAGCTTCATCATGGCTTCCACGGGACAGCCCCTCCCCACTTCCAACTATTCCACCTCTAGCCATGTACCACCTACTCAGCAAGTCCTGCCACCCCAGGGCTACATGCAGCCCCCTCAACAGGTGAGCAGCTCCAGTTCCAAGCTTAAATCACTAATTCAGTTGGTCCAGTATTATACCTCCTTTCTTCCTCTAGTGTTTAGACAGACCAGAGGGGATACCTCTCCCCACCTGCACTTGAGAGTTTTAGCCAGAAGGTCTTTATATATAACACAAGTCCTTCCTGTTTTGTTTCAAACTTCTATACTGATCCCACAATTGCAGGTCCAAAATATCTCTATTTACATATTTCTGGCCATAAACCCTGAGGCATTTAGTAATGGTAGGGCTGAATTTGAGGGACATCTCACACATCTTTTTCCTCTTACCATAGATCCAGGTTTCCTACTATCCCCCTGGACAGTATCCTAACTCCAACCAGCAATATCGACCTCTCTCTCACCCGGTGGCCTACAGCCCCCAACGTGGTCAACAGCTGCCTCAGCCATCCCAGCAGCCTGGTAAGAGGAACCACTGGTGTGAGAAGGCAGTGAATAGGGGGAAGGGAAGACTGGGAAAGCGAGAAGAGTTACCTTTACCATTTTAAAAAAGGGGGGCGGGGGCAGGAATGATTAGGGTCCTAAGAACGGACTAAGGATTTCTAGGAAAAGAAAAGGTAAAATAAAATGAAAAGGGAAATTACTGATAAGAGTGTGACCTCCTACACATTCATACTAATGTCTTCTCTGCCTTGCCCATCCCTAGGTTTACAGCCCATGATACCTAACCAGCAGCAGGCGGCTTACCAAGGCATGATCGGGGTCCAGCAGCCACAGAACCAGGGCCTGCTCAGCAACCAGAGGAGCAGCATGGGGGGCCAGATGCAAGGCCTGGTGGTTCAGTACACTCCACTGCCTTCTTACCAAGTGGGTGCATTCTGCATTGGGAAAGGTCACCCAGTCCTCAGGATGAGAAGGACAGCTTCTGGGGGTCATCCAGATGGACAACTCCAATACTAAAATATTGTCCACTTTCCCTCTAGAATTATTTTTGGGGGTTTTTCCCTCTGAGAGAAAGCTCATGGAGTCTAAGAAGAGTCTTTAAATTGTTTGGTCTTTATACAGCCATACAAATGAGCATATGCCCAGGAAAATAGTGTCTAAAGGAAATCAGGCTCCTTCTTCTATGTCAGATGCCCAAGGGTGGTATTTGGAGAAGGGAGAAATGCCTAAATTTTCTTTAGACATGGGGAAAACAGGAGGAGACTCTAAAAGGTAGGGAAGGAAGTTTTAATGCCCCTGTCTAGTGATAACGAAGCCATTGTCTGGATCTCAGTGGGAGTATGAGTAGTCATTCTCTTCACTTATCCCACCCAGGTTCCAGTGGGTAATGACTCACAAAATGTGGTCCAGCCGCCTTTCCAACAACCCATGCTGGTCCCTGCAAGCCAGTCTGTGCAAGGAGGCCTCCCAGCAGGGGGTGTGCCAGTGTACTACAGCATGATCCCCCCGGCTCAGCAGAATGGTACGAGGTGAGGACTCCCAAAGAGCGAGGTACATCTCCCATAGACCTTCAGCAATTGTTGCACCATGTTTTGTTTCCACTGGCTTAAGAAAGGCAGGGGTAAAGATCCCAGTAGTGTGCAAACACAGGTAGAACATGAGGGAGTTCATTCTCCATTTTTCCTCATTGGTTTGACATTTGCATAAGAGCTCATTAGCAGAAGAGAATTCCTGCTTCAGAGATTTATAATTTATGATTTCTCCCATTTTTTGTTTTTCAAAGCAATGGGATTCAGAACTATGGGATAGAGACTACTCATTCATAAGAGGAGCAGTTTCGGAGCATATATATGTAAATTTTTATATATGTAAATTTTTCTGTGTACTTCTGTTTGTATCTATGAATGAAACACCATAGGTGTGTCTATTTCTATATATCTATTTCTGTATATCTGAGTGTAGGTTGTAGCTAATAGAATTTTAGCAGTAGAAGGTACCTCAGGAAATCTAGTCCACTCCTCTTGTTTTATTTTTCTTCCTTATTTTTTAAACAAGGAAATTCTAGCTAGTGATGTTAAGAAACTTACTCAAATTCACATAGCTAGTTAGAAGCAGAGCTAGAACTAGAACTCAAGTCTGGGCCTAATTGGATGTGTTTCTGTGTGTCTGTCTCCCAACATGTGTATTTTTATCTCTGTGGTTTTATATGTATGTCTCCATCTTGTTTTGAGTTTTGTGGTGTTTTTTCTTTTTTTTTTTTCCTATTTGCCTTTAGGTGACTGTGTTTACCATTGTGTACATATCTTAAATCACGTATTTTCTTAGTGGTTTTTTTTTTTAATTTTTTACTTTTAGGACAAAAATAATTAGCAATCCTTAGGCTTTTTTTAAATCCATCTCTCTCTAGCATTGTGTGTCTATCTCTGGCACTCTCTTTATGTTTCTGGTGTTTCTTAGAATCTGTGTGTGTGCGTGTGCACGTGTATATATGGTGTTTCCACAGTGTTGGGAAGAGCATGTGTCGCTAACATTCCATCTGTAGCACTGATTAGCAGCTTCCTAATTGAAAGATGATCAAGTACAAATATATATAATTAACTTTGAACTGATGAGTGATTTTAGAAATTGCATGGCAAATTGGTCTGGGAATGGCTTGGAGCTGCCTCTGCTTCCCACAGGGGAGGGCCAGGAAGCAGCAGCTGTTTGCCAGGAGCTGTTTCTCCCTCTACCGTTTCACCACTCCTCCTTTCTCCATCTTCCCAGCCCTTCTGTGGGGTTTCTGCAACCTCCTGGCTCTGAGCAGTACCAGATGCCTCAGTCTCCCTCTCCCTGCAGTCCACCACAGATGCCACAGCAGTACTCAGGTAAGAGGATAAAGAATTGGGGGAACCTGGGCACTGACAAGAGCTGGGAAAGGCAGGAGTTCAGGGATTGGCTCTGTCCCTACTGTGACTCTCTCACGAAAGAAGACCAAAGTCTTGGCTGGTGTTTTCCAGGGGTACTGAGGCTGATCTCTCAACAGGTGGGGGTTGATTGCCTCATCCCTGGGAAGCCACGTCTGTAATTGAATTCCTTGTTTTCTTGTTGTCTTTTTCTTTTCTTTTCTTTTTTTTCTGAATCCAGCATTACACTCACATGCCTTTGGGTCATGAAATACTTACATGTGTCTCCTACACTCATTCTTCCTATAGACAGCTTTTCTTTTCTCTTGAGAGTATAAGGGAAGTTGATTAAATACTTTTTAAGTCATATCTTAGATGTGTTTAGCAGTTTTTAGTGTGCTCACATACATTGTAACACTTTAATTCTCATCACAACTTTGTAAGGCAAAAATTTGATTTAAAGAGATTAAATGACTTGCTTAAGATCACAGTCCTAGAACTTGAACTTGAGTCTGACTTTTCCATATCTCATGCTGCATCTTCAACACATTTTCAACAGGCTTTGTACTCTATTCCTTTCCCTCCAGTGGGAAATAAATGGACATCATGTTAAACAGCTAACGTCCCTCTTTGGTGGGGCCAGCTATTCCAGGTCAATAAGTTTATGCCATGCGTCCTCTCACTGCCTTTGCCAAGAACTTCCCCTACACACCCAGTACAGCTGTCCCTCTTTGTATACCTTTCATCCTACCCTGACATAGCAGTACAATGCAGCTAAACTTCAGGGGTTCTGGAGGGGACAAAGTCTTAATTTTTAGCCTCTAACCATCCCCATTCCACTCCACTGTGGGAATGTCAGAGTGCCCTCTTCTGGTGAGAGGGAGATGTTTTGCCAATTTTCCCCATTTAGAAATGGAGTATTTTTTACTAAAAGATGTTTTGCATCCTCACTGTGTTAGATGCTGTGGCAGGGATTCCAGAATTAGTCTCACTTGTTAGATATGATCAGTTCTTACCTTTAAGGAACAATGACTTCCGCCTTCATCCAGGCCAAACGTGAATCTCTTATGGGCTGAAGTTTTCAATCTGACAGCTCTTACCCTTTTTTACATTATTGGTGTCTCTAGCTGTTTCTCCTAATGTCCGCCAGGGGCACTTGGCCTTGAAATTCCCAGTGGGGTATGGAAATTGTAGAAACCAGCTCCAAGAATTACTGTAGCCTGTGGTGGTGCATGGTACCGCAGGGCATTTTCTCTCCTACTCGTTAAAATAAGTGTGTGCATGTGTATACGGGCATACATATGTGCATTTTTGTATGCATCTTTTGTGATATGTCAGTACCTCTATTGAGTCTCTGTGGTTGTATCTGTTCATCTTCCAGTACAAGGTCTTTGAATCAAGAACAAACCAAGTAAAAAGAATTTTTCATTACCTATTCTGGACCTAGTACTGGGTTAAGAATACTAAAACATGGTTGGTCCAAGTGCAGTGGTGTTTACAACTAATTGATCACAACCAGTTACAGACTCCTTTGTTCCTTCTCTACTCCCAGTGCTTCACTTGACTTGACTAGCCTAAAAAAAAATAATACTAAAACAACTGTTGCTCTGGAAGTTGGCAGCACTAGAGATCTGGACTGGAGTTGGAAGGAGATAATCTAGGCTTCTCAAGTCAAAAGACATGGGAAGGGTGGGGGAAAAAAAAAGAAAAACAAAAGACATGGGGAAACCCTGTTCACCATCTACTTCCCTTGCTGCTTTGGAATTTTCACGGTTCTATCTCCTTTACTCCTAGCAACCCTGATATACTCTGGGCTTCTAACTGACCCCTTGTACTTCTCCTAGATGTGGGACCCTCTGTTCCACCCACATCATCTAAGAGACCATATTCACCATATCATTGGCTTTAAAGGCGTTTAATTCTGCTCACGGAAATCTAAGAGGGAGTAGAAAAAGGGAAACAAGTGTTTATTCTGCCTGCCTTTCCAGTTCACCCTTTACTGAAAAGAGGCAAGCACAGGCCACAAGTGCCCCTCTGTCACCTTCAGAGGAAAGTCACCCATCCTCCTCTCATGTAGCAACATGGTCACTTTTCCAAAAATAAAGGCAGGGATTAGGATTGGCTGTTCCTGGAACAACTGTTGTGGTTTATTAATACATTTTTGTAGTTGCCCAGTTTACCCCCAGGCCTGTACCCTAATTCCTCCACTGTGATATTAGACATAACTCAAACCCCAGGAAACACTTTTCTTGCCACTAAAATGATGGCTTGCAAGTCCCTTGAGGTTTCTACAGGGATGCTTGTCTGGGGAAGATGCAAACAGACATGAGGTGGCAGTGATGCCTGTGCACAGACTCCCGACTCACAGTGACACAGCATCGTGGATAGAGGGAAATGCATGCAGAAATAGCCTCGCACTACTTACTGGCTCATTTTTTTAGCCAAGGGGTTTCCAAAGCTGAGACTACTACTCTTTTCTTTTCCACTTCCTGAGAATCCTCACCCCCCACCAGAAAAACAAAAAAGACCAAGATATTATTGGATTCTATCCTATAATTTGGGAAAGATGCCTGTGGATTTTATTTCTCTGGACATTCCTTTCTAGAGATTTGATTTCTGGTGGTAGGGAATAAGCCTTATCAGTTTTCACCTCAGTGATCTAAAAAAAACAAAAAACAATTCTGCCAGACATAAATGTCATCTGTTTGTATTTATGTGGTTTGCTCTGCCCAATCGACCTTTCTGCCCAGGTTTAATGATGCCACTTAAAAAGCCATTCACACGTCCCCTCTCCTTTCAGAGCTTTCAAGCTGAAATTGATTTCCTTATTCAACCCCTTTCTCCCCCTTCCCACCCGCTCCCAACCCAGGCTCCTTCCCCCAACCTGATTATATGGAAGTGCTGTCACTGGACAGTGGGTTTGGTTTTATTTTGGGGTTTTTTTTTTTGTTTTTTTATTGCCATGTCTATTAAGAGCAGTTCAGCTGCTAACGGATGCCACCTGCTTTGGGCTTGAGGAAGAGAAGCATAAAAATCAGCTTATCAGCAGAGTGGCTGTGTCCTCGGCTGAGTGGAGGAACAATGCTCCAGGCCAGTGGGGGAGGACTAAGTGTAGGGAGAGCTCAGAACAGTGCGCAGACTGAGAACCCTTGCTTTGTTTTTCTTGGGATCAGAGAAAATAACGTGAGCATTTTGTTCTCTTTCACCCTTCCTTTGAGCCCCCTAACAGCTCCTTATGGCTACACGTTGGTGTTACAGAGAGCTTCCACTGCCTTGCTTATGCTTAACCTACACACTCAGACACATCCCACCTTTCCTGACCCAGGGCATTAGTTAGCCTCAGATTATGAGCTGCCTTCTAGAAAAGCTCTAGATTTGATTATTTTTGCATTGGACCCTCAGGTAGCAACGAGGTATTTGAATAAGGTCAACTGCAATTTTGTTGGTAGAGGATGTTGTAGCAGGTGAGACTCTTAGGATAGGGAAATAAAATGCCCAGAACAACTATAATAAGCCGAGAGTTGTTAGATGCATGACACTCCACAACTGTGCGATTTTCCTGTGGCCCTTCTACAGCTATGTTATCCCTCTTGGCAGGGGATGGGGAGATGTGAGCCTGTTGCTCTGAATATTTGTGCTCTCTGATTGGATGAACCCTAGAGGGTAGAGGGCACATACTGGCTGGGGAGTAGCATATGACAGATGCCGTGTCTCCTGAGCTGCTCTCTCAGGCCACCCACCATTTCTTTTCCATTCCTTTGGCGAATACTACCTGAGAAAAACAATCACATTTACTTCCCAGCATGACTGGTGCCCAGAGCAAAGGCTATAACATTTCCTGCCATAGGAAGCAGTGTGATGGCAGCAGCAGTGGCAGCCTTGGAGCACCGAGCCGTGAAAACAGCAGCATTGTGGCAGGTTTTCGAGCTAGTAACCCCCAGCTCCCATTTCTCTACCACCACATACACGTGAACTCAGCCCCAGCAGGAATATAGCTTGGGGGTCATGAGCAGACCCTCATTCTGGATAATCTCCAGTGGGGAAGCATAGCTCTTGCCTATCCCTTCCAGCAAGGACCATCCATCAAACTGTTTCTCCCTAACTCCTTACTTTGCTTTTCACCATGAAGAAGATTTTATTTTTCATTTCCTTAATGTTCCTCCTCAGTGAGGCCTTTCCTTCCCCTTACCTGTGAAAGGATGAGGTTATCCATGGGTGCCAGTGCTAAACCTTAGGCTCACATCTACCTTCAGAGGGTCTGACCCTCCTACTCCATTCCTGCTGGCATTGCCCTATTCAGAATCTCTTCATTCTGTTTCAGGAGCTTTCTGAGTGGTCTTTTTGCTGCTAGTCCCTCCCTCCTACTTTCAGCCCACTTGAGTTGCCTTTCCAAAGCACAAATCGTAGTCCCAACACCTACAGGATAAAGTCGAAACATCTTACCAGAATGTGCTTCAGACTCTGCCACCAACTGTTTGTTTACTGTCTGAATCCTTAATAGACTGTCCATTCTATGAGGGCAGGAACAGGCTTGTTTGTTGTATGCCCAATGCCCAGCATAGGAACTGGCACATAGTAAATATTCAATAAATGTTGAATAAACAAATAAATATGTCTCATCTCCTACTTCCCCTACATAACCCCTATGTCTTAGCACCTGGAATTATTTTTCATTTCCTGAATATACCATTCTCTCTGCTTGAAATGTTTCCCAGCTCACCCTAACCTTGGCCAAGAAGTACTTTCTAGGTCTGGCTTGGTGACACTATGTACATTTATCTTCTCCAGAACAACCAGAGATCACTGACTTATCTACAGCCATTACTATAAAAGCCTGCACATGTCTGTAGTCCTGGCCCTTGGCCCAGACTAGGACCTGTACCATGCCCAGACACTTGAGCAATCTGCCCTGGGCATTTGGTAATACCCACCTTTAACAGAATGGAGTTGTTTTCTGCCAAGCATACCAAAATACCCCTCACTAGGTGAAGGCCAGGGGAGCATTGGCATCTAGGACTCATCTCCCATCCACTCAGATTTCCACTGTTTCGGTGGAAAGGGAGTCAAAAGCCAAATCAGCAACCATCTCAGATTCCTGGCAGGACGTGGTCTGAGTGACCCTAAAGCAAGTGGTTGGATTTGCTTACTGGCTGTCCCACTCAGGGCTAGCTGGATGGCCAAAAGAAAGTTTGAATTTACAACCAACTGCTTTCTTCCTGGCCCTCAGGAGTGTCACCTTCTGGACCAGGTGTAGTGGTCATGCAGCTGAATGTTCCTAATGGACCCCAGCCCCCACCAAACCCATCCATGGTCCAATGGAGTCACTGTAAATATTACAACATGGACCAGCGGGGTCAGAAGCCTGGAGACCTATACAATCCTGACAGTAGTCCCCAGGTGAGTTCTGCAACCCAGCCTTGTCTTGGCAAGGAGGTGACCAGATTCCTCCCAGGGAGCAATTTTTCCATTGACTGAGCAGCCCCTTTTTACGTGCTTTTCCGTGCATACTTTTGGGGAAAAAACACAAAAAATAGAAGGGAGCATCCTCTTTTAAGGAACCTAATATCTAAAGTGGCAGATAAGACACACTTGAAAATGTTCAGAGGCTGGGCGTGGTGCCTCAGGAGTTCGAGACCGGCCTGACCAAGAATGAGACCCTGTCTCTACTAAAAATAGAAAAATTAGCCAGGAGTTGTGGCATGTGCCTGTAGGTCCATCTACTTGGGAGGCTGAGGCAGGAGGATCACTCGAGCCCAGGAATTTGAAGTTGCAGTGAGCTATGATGACACCACTGCACTCTAGCTGGGGCAATAAGAGCAAGGCTCTGTCTCAAAAAAAGAAAAAGAAAAAGAGAATGCTCAGAGAAAATACTTAAAACAGTGTGTCAAAAATAGATACTAAAATACACAAATGGGCCAGGCACAGTGGCTCACGCCTGGTAATCCTAGCATTTTGGAAGACCAAGGCAGGAGGATCTGAGGCCAGGAGTTCGAGCTCAGCCTTAGCAAGAGCAAGACCCCATCTCTACATACAATAAAAAAATTAGCTGGGTGTGGTGGCACATGCCTGCAGTCCCAGCTACTCAAGAGGCTGAGGCAGGAGGATCACTTGAGCCCAGGAGTTTGAGGTTGCAGTGAGCTATGATGATGCCACTGCACTCTAGCCTGGGTGACAGAGCGAGCCCCTGTCTCAAAAAAAATTTAATAATGAAAATAAAATACACAAGTGAATTAAGGACTAAGGGGGCAGTATGAAGAAGCAGTCCGACTTTGACAGAGTCCAGCAAGAGAAACGTCTTTCCTGAGAAAGATGAATTTTAAGTCAAGCCATGGGAATATCCAGAGAGTAATGTTTGGTGTTTATGTGATATGTGTTCCTCTCTTCCACAGGCCAGCACACAGATGAGCAGCAGCCCTATCACATCTCCTACCCAGTCTCCAGCACCTTCTCCTGTCACCAGCCTCAGTAGCGTCTGCACAGGACTCAGTCCCCTGCCTGTCCTTACACAGTTTCCCCGGCCTGGGGGTTCAGCACAGGGTAGGGGATTAGATTAGGCCTGGCTGCTATGGAATTCACCCTTCACATCCCATTCCCAATTGGGGAGATTGAGAAAGTAGCAACAGGCAGGGAACCAATGTGGCTGATCCAATTCTGGGAGCTAACTCTTCCTTTAACATCCCTGTTTAGGCCATGGACACTTGTCCCTCTCCAGTGCTGCCCATGCTTAACTTACTCCAGCCTTCTTTTACATACCTGGTATTCACCACCAAGTAGGGTGAAAGGGGCTGGGGAAAAGAATTCACTGGACTTTCTAACGAACCAAAGAGTTTAATCTAGCATCAGTACTGAGTCCGAGGGCTGGGAGTGTGAGGCTGTGTCAGAAACAGTATGGTTTTAGAAGAGGGAACACTGGATTTGGATTCAAGTTCCAGCTTTCCCACTAACTAGCTTTGTGATATTGAGCAAGTTACTTAAACTCGGGACTAGACCTCAGTTTTCTAATCTATAAAATGATGTTAGTCACACATAAAATGGGAATAATCTTATCTGTTTTCTGCCTTAACTGTCACAAGCAGTATAAAAAAGAAGATAAAAATATGGTTTAGGGCTGGGCATAGTGGCTCGTGCTTGTAATCCTAGCACTCAGGGAGGCCAAGGCAGGAGGGTTGCTTGAGGTCAGCAGTTCAAGACCAGCCTGAGGAGAATGAGATCCTGTTTCTACTAAAAATAGGAAAAATTAGCCAGATATGGTGGCGCATGTCTGTAGTCCCAGCTACTCAGGAGGCTTAGGCAGGAGGATCGACTGAGCCCAGGAGTTCGAGGTTGCTGTGAGCTAGGCTGACACCATGGCACTCTAGCTCCAGGTGACAAAGCAAGACTGTCTCAAAAAAAGAAAAAGAATATGGTTTAGGGCCAGGCATGCTGACTCACGCTTGTAATCCTAGCGCTTTGGGAGGCTGAGGTGGGAGGATCGCTTTAGTTCAGGAGTTTGAGACCACCCTGAGTAAGAGTGATATCCCGTCGCTACTAAAAATAGAAAAATTAGCCAGACGTTGTGGCACATGCCTGTAGTCCCAGCTATTCAGGAGGCTGAGGCAAGAGGATCACTTGAGCCCAGGAGTTTGAGGCTGCAGTGAGCTAAGATGACACCACTGCACTCTACCCAGGGTGACAGAGCAAGACTCTCTCAAAAAAAAGAAAGAAGAATATGGCTTAAAAACTTGAATGTGCTCTGAAATGTAATATTTATCAATAATCGGTAACTCTTATGGTGCTTAATATGTACCAGGTATTGCTATAAGTGCTTTACATGTCTTATGTTTGTTTAGCCTTTCCAGCAACACTAAGGAGGGAAAAACATACCCAACATCACATTTCTAGTAATAGAGCCAGTATTTAAACCTAAGAAGTCTGCCTCCAAATCTGCACTCTTGACCACTATGCTATATTGCCTCTCACATGGTCAGAAACTTGAACCCCACAGTTTGGAGATGGGGACAATCTGTGTAAGAGATAAAAGACATTTATAAGGGTCTGTCGGTTTCTTCCCTAGTCATTTTCACAGGGCCTTTTGTTTACAGTGAACAGAGCCCTTCTTTAAGAGTGAGGGGGCCGGGCGTGGTGGCTCATGCCTGTAATCCTAGCTCTCTGGGAGGCCGAGGCGGGCGGATTGTTTGAGCTCAGGAGTTCGAAACCAGCCTGAGCAAGAGCAAGACCCCGTCTTTTCTGAAAATGGGAAAAATTAGCCAGGCGTTGTGGCGCATGCCTGTAGTCCCAGCTACTCGGGAGGCTGAGGCAGGAGGATCGCTTGAGCCCAGGAGTTTGAGGTTGCTGTGAGCTAGGATGACACCACGGCACTCTAGCCGGGGCAACAGAGTGAGACTCTGTCTCAAAAAAAAAAAAAAAGAGTGAGGGGACCTAATAGTCCCATTTGTGAGATATAGCTGAGAGCCAAAGGGTTTAGGAAGAGAGACTACTCTTAAATCAGCCACATGAGTACTCCCATCATAGAAAAGTAGAAATAGTATGCATTGTTGCTATCTCCAAAACCTCCTAAAATCTCATAAAAGTCATACCGTGAAGCTCAAGATCCCAGAAGACCATCTGCTCTTGCTCCCTAGGTGATGGACGCTACTCCCTCTTGGGCCAGCCATTACAGTACAATCTGTCCATCTGCCCTCCCTTGCTCCACAGCCAGTCGACTTACACAGTGCACCAGGTAAGGCTGTCCACCATCAGCCTTAGGGCGGGCCATCGGACCTCCCTTCCCATCTGGGCTCCTATCTCTTAGCCACTCGCTTCAACTAGCTGGATGCACAAGGGAGATGTCACAAAATGAACAAAGCATGGGGAGCCTTGCCCTACTTTTGTACTCGTTCCTCCCACTCAACCCCAGGACCAAGAGGAAGGGGCTCTTTGTTTCTCAGTGGCCACTCCTTGGCCATTCTCACTGCCTGGTGGGATGGAGTCTTCAGGGTTGGGTGCTACTCCTCAATTTCTCAGGCAGCCATTGGGATACAAGGCAGTCAGTGTTGTTTACGTGAGGTGAAAGTTATCTTTCGAATGTTGAAGGGACAGAGTGGACTGAAGCATGGAAACCGGGGCAAGCGACAAGCTCTCAAATCTGCCTCCACTGACCTGGGGACGGCAGACGTTGGTGAGTCACAGCATGCTGAATCCCTGAGAGGGGGTGCCCACCCCTCCAGCCCTTCATTACCAGCCTAGGATGACGGGGAAAAGCCAGCTTAGGGTGGGGTGTAGAAGTGGGACCCTTTGTGGTCAAAAACAGAAAGTAGAGAAGTGAAGTATCTCAGTCCTTCTTACCAAGTCGTCCCTTGGTAAGTCCTCCCTTGAGGAAGATCATGGTAAAAATTGGGAATAGCACAATGATGGTAGTTGCTGAGCCTCTTATTGAAAGTCTTCTGGGCACAGTGCTGACCCTAATCTAGGATATCTACCTTTGGTAGTCCTAGACCTAATTTAGGGAAAGATTGGTAGAGAATATGGGGAAGTAAGTCTCCCCTGCAGGCCTTCCATGCTGGGCGTACAAGATCTCTCAGGATGTCCCCTGTTCAGAGCAGTTTGCTAAACAAGGAAAGGAAGGGAGACTGACTTCCTGAGATGATAAGAAGGAAGAATCGATTTGGGCCAGCCTGTGAGTAGAAAGGGAACTGTGGAACATATCTCAGATTGATCCATTGACTTTGCTAAGGAAAATCAGCAAAAGACACATTTCCTTCATAGCAGTGGCACCCTGTGAGAGAACTGAGGTATAGGTCCCCAGATTATAAACCTGGGATTCTGATTCCCAGTCCCTTTTTGCCTGCATCTCTGGGCTAAAAGAAGAGAAAGATTCATTGTTTTCCTCTTAGTTGCCCTGATCAGAATCTGGATAGTGGGGAATTGGGTTGATTTGGAGAGGGGAAGAAAGGGCTAAGTGGGAAAGGCCAGGCTTTTGAAGACATTATCTACAGACTTGGCCAGTGGATACTTCTCAGCCAGAGCACTCTTCGTTCTTCCTACCCTACTCCTTTCACAACCATGTCCTCTCTCCCCTTCCAGTCCTGGGGCGGGTGCTGGAGGTGACAGATCTCCCTGAGGGCATCACCCGTACTGAGGCGGACAAACTCTTCACGCAGCTTGCCATGTCCGGTGCCAAGATCCAGTGGCTCAAAGATGCTCAGGGGCTGCCCGGTGGGGGTGGGGGTGACAACGGTGGGACTGCCGAGAATGGCCGCCACTCGGACCTCGCTGCCTTGTACACCATCGTGGCTGTGTTCCCCAGCCCCCTGGCTGCCCAAAATGCCTCCCTTCGTCTCAACAACTCCGTGAGTCGCTTCAAACTTCGAATGGCCAAAAAGAACTATGACCTGAGGATCCTGGAGCGAGCCAGCTCCCAATAAATGGAGGAGGGGAAGGGACCGGCACAGTAGGGGCGGAGGCAGGGTGGAGGGGGTTGAGGGATCCTGACAGACCATGGACAGAGGCAGGAAATAATGAGAATGACACTCAACTGGAGCCTAAGACATTAGGGATGGAAACAGATGAAGATGGAAACTTCTGGCACTGGACTCCTTCTTGCTCCCCTGCCATGAGTCCCCTTTTTCCCTCGTCCCCCCTCTGCTTCCCTCTCCTTCCCATCCTCTTAATATCATTTTTTATCTCTTCTCCCACCATGAAATTAATTTCTTATTTTTTGGTCAGGTAGAATTGGGAGGGTCCTACACTTCCCTATTCTCCTATTTCCTTAACATCCCAAGCTTCCTTTCCTTTTTTGGTCTTTACGAATATTTATATGGACAGAATTAAGAAAAAATTGATTTCCCCATTCTCTCACTTCCCCCAACTTGTCTTCCCCCAAACCTCACAGAGTTAAAACTTGGGACTCCCCCCATCCGCTAGAACACTTGTATATTGTTTGTTTGAGATTTGTGCTGCAGTAACAGACACAGTATTTAATTGCACATACAGATGTTTGCTGGGTATATTCACTGTAAATTTTATTTAATCTGGTTTTTTGTTTGTTTGGGGGGTTATTTGGGGGGAGGTTGGTTTTGTTTTTAAATATATAAAAAAATCTGTCACTGGACATCAGTCACTCTTTCTCTGTTGCCGCCCTGATGTGGATGGAGGTTGGAGACCCTGGGTAGGTATAGCCCCACAGCTGTTGGAGGGGTTTTTTGTGGGTTGGTATGGCTTTCCCTAGCATTTGCACACTGTTTCTAACACTGTTCCCTCCATACCACCTTCCTCCCTGTACATAATTGTGATAGATGACTGAGTCTCTAATGGGACCTTGGTTTGGGGCTCTCCCAGCTCTGCCACTAACTATGGTTCATTGACCACATCACTACTCTAAACCTCTGTGTCCATAAAATAAGAGACTTGAATTGACCAGGGCCCTTCTGGCTGAGCTGGGGAGGAGGGGTGAATGAGGTCCAGAACTGGGTTGAGATGCTGGGCTTATACCTGTCCATCTAATCTGAAAACCCTTCAGGGATGGAGGAATTGGGCCTTTCTTTAATCCTAAAGCCAGAGGATTGGGTTCTACCTGTCAGGAACAGAAATGGATGTTTCTTACAATAAAAACTACATCAACTGAACTTCCAGTGCCAAGATGCTGTACTATCCACATGTGCTCAGCAGTCCCTGTCCTGTGCAGCTGAAGAAAGGTGAAGAGCAGAAGTCATCCTTCTTGCAAGATGGAACTTTTCCTATATCTGGGGCTTCTCAAAGCTAGCCCTGTTGTTCTGTAGCCTGTCAGAATAGGGCCATGAAAGAGTCTGTAGACTGAGAACCATCCAAAACCCCCTTTTAAAGCTCACTCACCCCTTAAAAACAGAGAAAAACGAGCAGTGGGTGAGAATGACAAAGCACATTGTCCTGGAAATCTCTTAGGTCTGGGTAGCTGTATCTCTAAACCATGCTCTTTCAGGAGCTTGTCTGACCCAACCTCCAAGTAGTCCTTTATTTCTTACAGATACAAGGGACAAAGCAGCACTACATCACCACCCTAAATTGCTCTCCTCTGAGATGGGAGTGTCTCCTTTTTCAGCCATGTCACAGTCCAAAAAGTAGGGGAAGGCTTCATCCCTGTAAGAATGCAATCTATCTCTTTAAACCATCAGTTTATATACTGGGGCATCAGAGATGGGAGAGGGAATCAAAAGGGTTGAGAAAGTGTGAGGTTGGCCATCCTACCTTTCAGAGTTCTCAGTTCTCATGGGGAAGGGGACATTACTTACAAATGATAAAAACTGCCTATGTGGCAGCTAAAGCTTTCTGTCCAGTGTTAACTAGACCATCTCTGCCTGGTCATTAGACTCTCACTCCTTAGAGCCCCTTAGATGGAAGGCCCAGGCTATCTTTTTGCCTGGGCAATTCCCTTCACCCTAAGGATGAGATTTTAGAGGAATAGGGGGAAGATACCTCGGAACTGCTGGAGGGAACAAAGCAGTACTACATACTCTTCACTCCCTTGCAAGATAACAAGGTACCCTCCAACAACCCATGAGTAAGAAAGCAATCTAGTGAGGCTGATCGGGGAGCTCTGAGAGTTCAAGTTGATTTTTCCAGCTCCCAGCCCTTTCCTAGCCTAAAGTTTTGAGCCTAGATCAATCCTTGTGGGTATATAAACACATGGCCATAAGAAGACAATGGCTGCGAAGTCTAGTTCCTACACTAGGTCCAGGGAGGGTAGACTTGGAGAAGTTTTTGTACCATGGGGAAATAAGTTTATAATTCATCTTGATTTTCAGTCATCTGAAATCCTCTCGAATGAATGTGAAGCATGAACAGAAACTGTCCCTCCCTGAATTTAGCCAGCACTGACTTGCTTACCACAGGTGAAGAATCAGGGAACAGCAGCTCTGGGGGATGGGAGGAATTAGGGTCCGGCCCTGCCTCAGACCTCCCCGTGTCCAATTTCTCTGTGTCAGCTGTGCTGCTCAGCTGTCCACTTTCCTCCAGGCCTGTCATTTCGCTCTGACACCAAGGCAAGAGGCTAGGAGGTCTACAAATAGCGTCTGGGTAGCTGGTGCGAGTACGGAGGGTACTGGGGGGGCTTAGCCCCCAAGGAAGAGGACTAGTCCTCCCCAGCACCACCATCGAGGCCCCAGGGCCTCCCACTTCCCTCCATAGACTGTGGACTGACTAGGGAATCCCAAACGTAAGTTGCCTCTTCATCCTCTTTCCATTTCCTGCTGCCACAATTGTAGTCTATACAGCTTCTCTTTTTCTCTCCTTGTCTGTGAGTAGTTTGGGTTTTAGGAGTGAAATTATTATTCTGCTCCAGGATGAACTAGGATTGGAGCATGGGGTGGGGGTGGGATCAGGGGAATGGAATAGTAAGGGAAGGGAAGGCTCATATTACTCTGAAAACTTAAAATAGCTGAGGCCTGAGGCAGGCTGGGACAGAATTAGGCACAGGGCCCCCAGGGCTCATGAAAGAAGTAGGGGAGAACAAATGTCTCCATCCTTCCATGCGTACACACAGGGACACACACTAAATTTCTAGAAAAGAGGGGATCTGGAAAGATGTGTGTGTCACCTCTCTATTGCCCACAGATTTCCAGAAGAAACAAAGTACCTCTAGGAAAATACCTAAACCATGCAGTCTTGGGCACTGTGTTGGGGCTGTAAATCTGGGATTGCCCTCAGGGTAAAAGGATGGGTATCAGCTTGAGGAACTGACTGGGAAGTTCTTTAATCTGTTGGGCTTTTTTCTTGGAACTTCATGTAATCTTTCTGTTCATAAACGCTGCCAAAGGATCTCTGACCAAATTTCTCCCAAGGCCTCCCCTTCAAGGAGCACCCTACTGTGAGGGACAGAAATAAGGGAGGGAAGAGTGGCAGTCAGGGATTAGATTTCATAATGGGGTCCAACCTCTTGCAGGATGACAGAAAAGGAGGTGCTGGCATCCCCTAAGCCCTCCTTGCCAGCAGAGACTCGGCAAAGTGGGGTGAGTCTGGGCCTCTGACCACCGGGTGTGGGGGACTGGGAAGTCATTACAGCCCCTGAAGAAAAGTGCTTTAATTGATCTCACTTATGTGTGACTGACTCATTTATTGTTAGGATGCTAGCCGGAACCTGAAGCCCCCAGGACCCCCTTATCTTGGGGCACATTCCTTGCCCCAAGCTCCAAAAATGTCCAATTAGCTTTAGCCCAACCAACTCTAGGGAGGGTGACAGTCCTTTTAACATTGGGTTTCCTTCATTCCCTCCCTCAGCTACAGCGGCTGAAGCAGTTATTCAGGAAGGGGTCTACAGAGACAAAGGAGATGGAGATTCCCCCAGAGCCCCAGGCCAATGGGGAGGCAGTGGGAGCTGGGGGTGGGCCCATCTACTACATCTATGAAGAAGAGGAGGAAGAAGAAGAGGAGGAGGAGGAACCACCCCCAGAACCTCCTAAGCTTGTCAACGATAAGCCCCACAAATTCAAAGATCACTTCTTCAAGAAGCCAAAGTTCTGTGATGTCTGTGCCCGGATGATTGTTCGTGAGTCATGAAGTGGAGAGAGTGTGATGTTGAAGGCAGCGGGTGGGGGAGAAGGTTTAGGAGAGTGTTTGGGCTGTGGCTAGATTTGGCTTAAGACAATTCCATTAGAGATCGAGAGAGTAGGGTACCAGACAGAAAGGGAACCTAAGAGCTAGAGTGGCAGCAGTGGTGCAAAGGAAAAGGGCAATCCAGAATCTTACCCAAACGTTCTTCCCCTCTCCCAAGTCAACAACAAATTTGGGCTTCGCTGTAAGAACTGCAAAACCAACATTCATGAACACTGTCAGTCCTATGTGGAGATGCAGAGATGCTTCGGCAAGATCGTGAGTAGGCTCTGAGGAGCAAGAAAGAAGGGAGGGGATGTGTTGCCAGCTACCCCCTTGCTGGTCCCTCCTCCAGTTATCCCATACATTTCCTTGTTGTTTCTTTCTTAGCCCATCTCTTACTCTGAGAAGGGGTGAGCACTCATGGGAGAGATGGGGTCTGGACCTACCTTGCTACCTCTAATGCTTCCTCCCATCCCATCCCACAGCCCCCTGGTTTCCATCGGGCCTATAGCTCCCCGCTCTACAGCAACCAGCAGTACGCTTGTGTCAAAGATCTCTGTAAGTGCCCCTTACGGGACCTGAGGGAATGGGCAAGCCTGGAGATGGTTTCATGCCACCTCTAGCTTTGGAAGCCAAATTCTGAAACAGAAACACTCTATTTCCCATGATTCTCCCTCAACTTAATATTTTTATAGCCATTTGGATACAGAGTCAATATTCCCCTGTTTTACAGTGGGGGGAGATTAGACTTAGCTGCAGCTACATAGAGCTAGCAAGAGTAGAGCCAAGACTCAAACCTTCAGTTGCTAACTTCAAATATAAGTTCTTCATGTGAAAAACCATCTCTAAGCAAGAACAAGGATTCTAGACTGTCCTAATCCTTGTTGCAGAGTCATACCAGACTCAGGGCCAGAACAAGAGCTGTGGGCATCTGGGACACATTCATAATTTGGTAACCCTTAAAAACATATTCATTGGCAGTTTGCCCAACATTTATTTGGAGGAGAAGCTGAACTCTGTAAGGAGCATGGGTATAAAAGAAGAACCTGCTGGTTGTAGCACCCCAGCTTGTACATGCCACTCAGCAGAACAAAAGCCAGCATTTAAGGGACCATTCTCCTTAAAAAGAGAGTAGTGATTCAGATCATGCCCCAACTCCCAAGCAACTTACCAAAGTTGTCTTTCCAACATCATATAATACTGTCTGGAAGGAGTTCTGGTAAATATTTTTCTCCATCACATTACATCACCAGTGATGTTTTTAGAGCCCTTTATAGATTGGTGACCTAGGTATTGGCCAGCCGACCCTTCCCTAATCCTCCCTCCTTGCCCCCCCAAACTTCCGCATGGGTATCCGTATACTCAATCCCACCTCTGCCTTCCTTAGGAGGTCTCTCTCTTTGCTCCAAGCCTTTCTCTGCCTCCCCAGTAATGTCTTCTTTCTCCACCCATTCTACTAGCTACTGCCAATCGCAATGACCCCGTGTTTGAAACCCTGCGCACTGGGGTGATCATGGCAAACAAGGAACGGAAGAAGGGACAGGCAGATAAGAAAAATGTGAGCACCATACCTCCCAGTGAGTTCCCTCCCAGAGGCCCCATGGAGCAGGTCATTTCCCCCTTTGGAATGACAGAAGCTATGGATCCTATTAAAATTGCACATAACCCAACAGACAAATTTTTGCGTTGCAGTTTTAGAGGGTGTTTTGGACCTGCTGCAGCTCACCATGGGCCTCAGGTTAAGAACTCCTGCCATAGAATGTGTTTTCTCAACTCCCTTCTGAGATTGTCAGATTAACCATCACAACCACCTGAAAACTAGTCCCTGGGCCCTTGGCAGTGCTGAGTGGCAGAGGCAAGACCTATGCTTTTGGATTTGGGGAAGAGAACTTGTCATGCTAAGTGATCAGAGAATTCTAGAGCCATGAAAGGGTCCATGAAGATCATCTAGTCTGACCCATTTATCTTACAGATGATGAAACTGAAGCACAAAGCTATTGGCCAAGAGCAATTTCCCTTTGTAATAGGGTTACTAGGTTGGTAATGCCATAGACTTGCATTCAGAAATTTGTTAGAGTATTCTTTTTTTTTTCTTTTTAGAGACAGGGTCTCTTTTATTGCCCAGGCTGAAGTGTAGTGGTGCAATCATAGCTTGCTGTAACCAACCTCCTGGGCCCAAGCAATCCCAACTCAGCCTCCCAAGTAACTGGGACTATAGGCGTGCACCACCTCTCCTGGCTAATTTTTTCATTTTTTGTAGAGACGGGGTCTCACTGTGCTGCCTAGGCTAATCTTGAACTCCTGACCTCAAGCAATCCTTCTGCCTCAGCCTCCCAAAGTGCTGGAATTACAGGCATGAGCCACTGGGCCTGTTAGAGTATTCTTATGTCTTTCTGGACAACCAGATGAACTAGGATGGATGATGGTTACAGTTAGATGGATTCTTAAAATTGGTTGAATGGCATACCCAAAGAGTCCAGGTGCTTTAGGGAGTGTCCAGCTAGAGGGATATTTCTGATGCCTTATAATTTGGTCCATGGTCTTCACCTATGGACATTTTTCTCACTGATGTAAAAGAAGATATAAATGGTATATTAAGTTTATGGGAAAGGTAGGAGGAAAAACTTATATACTGAATAATATATTTAAAACTCTTACAGACTAGAAGAAAAGGCCAAAACTAATATTAATAATTTGAAATTTCATAAGGAAAATGTACCTATCTATTCTTGGATAAAAAATATCAACTGCACAAAAATAGAACTAGAGATCTGGCCTCAAAGTAGTTGATATGGAGGTTGGACACAGATTAGGAATTTCTATGGAGTGAACTATGACTTTTAAGGGACTAGCAGTGTGATTTGGCTCCTTCTAGAAGGGCTAGCACACTCTTGGGTTCTATTCTTTTTTAAATTTTTTTTGTTTTTAAAAATTTTATTAAAATTATTCTCCTTCCTTCTTCGGATTCTATTCTTTTAAAGAAATTATAAAAACTGCCCATTTTTCTCTTACACGCTGGAGTATTTTTAAAGGCAGATGGTATAGTGAAGGATCATGGGGATGATTTGAATGGACTAAGAATGATTAGAGAAGAATGATTAAAAAGAAATAGAGACATGTCAGCTGTCCTCAGATATTTAAAGGGACCATATTCACTTTACATTTATTGCTGCAGAGGGCAAATCAGGACTAATAACTAAAAGTTACAGGGAGACTGACATAGGCTTAATGTAGGGAATTGCCCCAAAATTGCATAGGGTTACTTCATAAGGTAGTGAACTCCTTGTCATTAGCTACATTCAAGCACAATGTGGGTGACCCACCTGCCTGGATATTTTAGAGGAAGTCCCTGCATTAGGCAGGTGGTTGTTCTAGATATTTCCTCCCAGGTTTCTTCCAACCCTGAGATCTCATTATTCTGTAGTTCCCTGACGTGACTGTAGAAAGCCAGGGCAAGCATGGTTTCCCAAGACAGAATCTCCCTAACTCTGCTGCCCCCTCCAGCCTCTAGCAGCCATGATGGAGGAGGAGCCAGAGTCGGCCAGACCAGAAGAAGGCAAACCCCAGGATGGTGAGTGTCACCTAGCTACAGAGATGGAGTAGGATCAGGGGCTCAGCTGTGGCATGGGGGGTGGAGGAGAAAAGGACAGGACAGGCCCTTTTACAGATAGGTAAAAGAATGAGGACTGCCCTCCAGGAACCAGACAATTTATTGGTGTTCCCCATCCCAGGAAACCCTGAAGGAGATAAGAAGGCTGAGAAGAAGACACCTGATGACAAAGTGAGAATCTTTCCTCCCTGCAAGGACCCCAAGTCCTCTCCCCAACCCAGGTCTGACACCACTCATAGCCTCAGCAGAAGCTCACACTTACTCCTTGGGTTCCCAACACACACCCACAACCAATAAACTCCTCTCCGTTCAGGGACCTGGAAGAGAGTTGGATGTAGTGTGTCTGGAGAATGCTCCTGCCTTGGACTCCTGCCCTTCAGTATGGGGTAGAGGAGCCCTGAGACTAATCACCTCCTTTCACCCCCAGCACAAGCAGCCTGGCTTCCAGCAGTCTCATTATTTTGTGGCTCTCTACCGGTTCAAAGCCCTGGAGAAGGACGATCTGGATTTTCCGTGAGAGGCCTTGGGGGGTGGGGTAGGTTTACTGTGGAGTAAGAGGGGCGAACTGGGCTCCCTATGGGAAAGGACAAAGGGGGAGACTCATGACTTGGAGCCTATTGGGGCTGGACCCGGGGCACAGTTAGGGACCTGGTATGTGAGTGAGTCCCCTAAATCTCTGAGGCCCCTCCCTTCCTCTCCCAGGCCAGGAGAAAAGATTACAGTCATTGATGACTCCAATGAGGAGTGGTGGCGGGTAAGAGAAATGGCTGGGGCCAGGGTGGGATATGAGTTGAGTCTAGAACCTAAGATTGAGAGATTGATTCTCCCTATCTTCCCCAGGGGAAAATCGGGGAGAAGGTCGGGTTTTTCCCTCCAAATTTCATCATTCGGGTCCGGGCTGGAGAACGTGTGCACCGCGTAACGAGATCCTTCGTGGGGAACCGCGAGATAGGGCAGATCACACTCAAGAAGGACCAGGTAGCCTGGTGCCCCAACCCAATCCCAGGCCTGAATGCTGACCACATTCCTTGGAGATCTTATCCATCAATGAGGCTAAAATGCACCTCTCTAACCCCGGTTTCCCCTGCTCTCTTCTATCTTTTCCCTTGATTTCTTTCTTTCCCCTTAATCTTTTAATCCGCTAGATCGTGGTGCAGAAAGGAGATGAAGCCGGTGGCTACGTCAAGGTCTACACCGGCCGCAAGATGGGGCTGTTCCCCGCCGACTTCCTGGAGGAGATTTAGGAGTGCAGGCGCCCGCTGGCGGGAGACACCCTTGCCCCCATTCTGGGCGGGCCCAGTGGAGGTTGGGGAGGAAAAGGGCTAAAGCAACCGGACTGCCGGGTAGGGGAGAGGTGGAAAGGCCCGCCAGAGCCTGACCGGGCTTCTGGAAAGGGACTGGTTCCCACCCCCTACCCCGGCCTTGGGTCTCGGATGCCTAAAGCAGCCCGCACCGGAAACCCCAAGAGCTGGAAAGAGAAAATAGCTCACTAGGAGGAGTGGGGCGGGGAGGTGGGGGGAAAGGGGTGGCAGGGGCTAACTGTCGGATGTTGCGAATTTACTAAAGTTTTGACAAAAGTTAGAAAAGTTGTTCTTTGGGGTTTTTTTTTTTTTTCGAGACAAAATCTCACTCCGTCACCCAGGCTGGAGTGCAATGGTGCAATCATATAGCTCATTGTAACCTTGAACTCCTGGGCTCAGGCGATCAGGTGATCCTCTCGCGTAGCTGGGACTACAGGCAAAAGCCACCACGCCGTTAATTTTTTTTTTTTTTTTAATGTAGAGACAGGGTCTCGCTTTTTTGCCCGGGCTGGTCTCTCTTGACCTCAAGTGATCCTCCCGCCTCGACCTCTGAAAGTGCTGGGATTACAGACGTGAACTACAGTGCCAGGCCAAGAAAAGTTGTTCTTTAATTGGGGGCAAAGAGAGGGCCTGCAGAGGGGTGGAGTATCCTCCCCAGCTATCCTACCTCACTACTATCTGGTAACTTGAGACCCATCTGGGCTGAAAGTGGTGGGAGAAGGGAAGACAGGTGCGTCTGCCAGGCGAGGCCTCTGTTGTCAGTGAAGAAAGGGGAGCCGGACTAGAGCCTCGGCCTCTGAGCCCCTGCCGCTGGGAGCAGGATCGCGTAGCAGGGTAGGTCCTCCTAGCTCTTGGTGATTTAGCCGCCCGCAGCCTCTTGCATTTACGAACCTGGCTCAGCGCCGAGCTAAGCCGCCAGGGGGCGATGCAAGATCTCGGTTGGAGAGCGAGGGATAGGGAGGGAGTGGAGGGTGGGTAAGGGGAGAGGACCAGAGACACCAAGCCCGAGACCCTAGGCCTGGGAGGGGGTGGGGTGCGTGCCGTCTCCATGGCAACACTTCCTCAAGTCCTCTGGGAACTGAGCTAGCTAGGCCGGGGGGCCTAACCCCTCCCGCGCTGCCCCTGCCCCAGCCCTTTCCGACAGGTACAGAGTGAGGACGCAGGGCAGACAGCTAACGGGCTCTCGCGGAGACCGCCCTGCGGGGCGCTGTATGCAAATGTTATTATTTGCGTATGCAAATATGCAAATATGCCGGCCCCGGTCAGGGCGGCAGGTGGCGAGGAGCCGGAAGGTGTGGGGAAGGGGGCAGAAGGAGACGAGGAGTTTGGGGACCTGGGAGTGGACCAGTGAGAGGCAGGCTGGGGTAGTCGCTGGAGTGGAGCAGGCAGAGGGTCTTGAGCTTCCTGGCGGGTGGGGGAGGGTCGGCCTGGCTAGCCAGGAGCTCCTCTTGTCTGCCCGTTGTCTGCCAGGACTGAGGTTGGCACCGCCTAGCAAGGTTGGCAGCGGGAGTCCAGGCACCATCTGCTGCTGGCGGGGGGAGGGCAGAGGCTCAGCTGGGCTGGGGAAGAGGAGGGCCCAGGACGGGCGCACCCGCCTTCCTTCCAGAAGGCTGAGGTGTGATGGGGGTAGGGAAACACACACAAGAAGACTGCGGAACCGGGTTCGGTTCTCTGTTCCCTTTGCCCTTCACTGTCCCGGACGCCTGAGGAGTAGCTGCGGGGTCAAAAAGGAAGACCTCCTTGAATCGCAACTGGGCTGGAATAGGGGTAGATTACAAGCCCGCGCGCTCGCGCGCGAGCGCACACACACACACACACACACACACACACACACAAACACACACGCCAACCACACACATCAAGCGTTTTGCCCCCATCCTTCCTTGGGATCTGCCTACCACAAATATGTGGGAGGAGGGACTGCGAGTGCTCGAGTCGCCTCTGTTCATCAAGGTCTGAGGGACTCAAAATCTCGGAGCCCCCCAGATCCTCGAGAGAGCCCCCCACAATGCTGAAGCAAAACCAATTTACTGGCTCATTGGGCGGCGATGTTGGTGTGCGGGGTGCCGGTGCTGAGGAGCAGGGAGAGAGGATGTTCTCCCCCTACGCTCGGGGGGCGCCCCCCTCCCTAGCCTCACCGAGCCGGCAGCTGTCCCTAATTAGAGTGGCGGTTTAATTGGATTTATCAGCAGTTAATAGGAAATTAAGCAAAGGGCCCGAGAGAAGGGAGGCGGGAGGAGCGGGGAGCCAGGCTGTGCTGAGCTCGAAGGAGGGGTACTGGGGTACCAAGAGTGGGGGCACAAGGCCCAGTGTGTTGCAATTGAGCCCCATGGTCATGGCCTCCCCTCAGTACTCGCTAAGACTGTTGAGCCCTAGCTCACTGGCCATAGAGCAGGTCCAAGGAGAAGGGGTGGTGGCCACCGGGTGTGAGCCCCCAGCACCCTCCATCCCACAAGCGGCCGCCTGGGTGATGGATGATACTGCCACATGCTGCAAAGGTCATAAGTCTGGGCCAAGGAGCAGACTGAATTGAAAACAGATGGAAGAAGGGCCGGTGTACTAGGGTACAAGACACAACCTGCACCACCTCAACTCCCTTCACTGCCCACCCCACTCTTGGCAAAAAAGGGAGAGCCTTGAAGTCAGAAGATTGGCAGTATGGGGGACAAGGGAGGGTACAGAGTGACCCTCTCTTAAACCTCCACCATCAGCCATGTTGGGGACCAAGGATTCTCCTAGTGCAGCCCCGGTGTTCCTCTTATGGCTCCCCCTCTGCCAAACTGCTAAGAGTTGGGGCTGTTGAGAACTGCTGGGTATACTGCTGGGGGGGGGGTGGCCAAGGTGGCTGCACCTGCCCTTGAGGCAGGGAAGGAAGCTTGCTGGCAGTCAAGTGGGGGCCACAGGTCTCTGAGTCCACGGCCCCCGGCGTCTCCTGTCACCGCAACCTCATTATACTGTTCGGCTAACAAGGTCTGCTTCAGAGACCCTGACGACCTCTCTGCCACACTCCACCCCGCAGGGCACTGATGGCAGTTCCTGCATACGTGTGAGCCTCTGAGTGGGTGTGGGTCGTCAGGGCTCTCTGTGCTCCTAGCAATTATGGGTGTCTGTACCCCTGGTGTGTGGTATGTGTGTGTCGTGTGTGCCCTGGGTGAGGTATGTCTATCAAAGCCCCAGGTGTATGCTGGAGTCTGTGCCCCTGTGTGTGTGCCTCTGAGTGTGACAATGTCGGCTTTGTCCATTCCCTGCTCCCTAGCCCCCATCTCTATGATTTCTGTGTGTCTAAGCCCCAGGGTGTCTAGGTTTCTGGGTGTGCTCATGTGCTTTGGTGTGTCTACGTGTCTGTGCTCTCTGCACGCCTGGGTGTGCCCCACATGGGGGCGTTGCGTGTGTCTCTGCTTGCAGGACTGTGTATGTGTGAAAATAAGGAAGAGCCACTGGTGAGTGTGTGTTGTTTTCTGCCTGCAGGTGTGTGTGTCTCAGTGACAGTGCGTGGGCGTGTGCCTGGGTGTGAGCCGCGCGGTGGCGTGTATCCGAATGACAGTGTGACGCGCCCGCGCGCCTGGGTGAGTCTCCCGCCCCCACTCCTTCCTTTCCCCATTTTTATTCCTCTCTCCTCTCCGGGCCGGCTCGGCTCCGCCGTCCGCATCATCTCCATCCATTATTGAAGAAACAGCCGCGTCCGCTCCAATCACATCAACACCCCCGCCCCCTCCCTGTTCTGCTCACCCCGCGGCCCCTCTGGGTGCTGGGGAGAGGAAAAGCCAAGGCGCGGCGGGAGCGCCGGGTGGGAGCGGGCTCATGACCCTGTGCCCGGAGCCGGGCCAGGCGGGGAGACACCCGCGTCCCGGGCGGAGAGCGCTTTGCATAAACAGATGGCGCGGGAGTCTTTGTCTTGCTTGCTCGCTCGCCGCGCAGCTCCCAGCTCCGCTTCTGTCTGGCTGATGCAATCATGATCATCTTGGAGCCTCTGGACCTGGCGCCCTTAATAGCGGCAGAGGGGGTCAGGGGCCCCGGGGCTGCCGAGCAGATGCTGGGTACTGTGTCTTACCTCCCAGGCGCCCCCGCCATGTCCCACAGCTACAGCGGGAAGACCAAGGCTGCGCCCAGGTGACAGGCAGGTGGAGGTGACCAGGAGGAGGACCCGGGGCAGTACCCCGAGGTGTCCCTGGGCTGTCCTGTTGGACTCCTGCAGCTCCTCAGGGTCAGCAAACCAGAGAATAGAAATAGAGCTGGGAAATAGGGTATGGGGGAGACAAAGAGAGGCATTTGTAAAGAGAGACACGGGGAGGTAGAGAGATACAGAGGGATGGAGAGACAGACACAGAGACACAGATGAGAGGGACAAAGCCATGTAGAGAGAGGAACAGAGGGAGAGCCAGAAAAACACAGCCAGAATGATAAGGAATAGAGAGACATAGACATACCCAGAGAGACAGCCAGAGACAGAGAGACAGACAGACAAATAGATGGCCTGAAGAAGAAAGAGGCAGAAAGAAGGGAAGCCAGAGGCTGGGGCAGGCCGAGTCAGAAGACGTAAGACAGCCTAGAGACCTGCAGCCCCAGAGCTGAGATGAAGCTCCAGGCATCTGAGGCCGCCCAGCTCCGCGAGAGGAGCCAGCCTGAACCCTGGGTTCTGCCTGTGGCTGGCGAGGCAGAAGCTTCCGCGTCTGCTCTCCGCCCTCCCGCCCCACCTCACACCAGAAGAGTGGAGGCTGCAGGACCCACCGCCTCGGCGGCGGGAGGCGGAAGTGGCCTGAATGATAGGCGTGAATCGACCCTTACAGGCACGGACTCACCTGCCCAAATGCCGGGAGTGCAGGGCCGGTGCCGCCCCACAGGGGGCGCCCGAAGCCTCTTTCGCGAGCTTGGGTGCTGCTCGGTCTCCAGGGAGCGCCCGCGTGCACGGCCCCCGCAACCCTCGGGCAGCGCGGAGCCCAGCTGCGTTTGACTCGCTGCGCCGCCTGTGCCAGCATTAGAGTCCTGGTGCGGTTTGGTGCTCAGAGTCCGGTCCCAGCGGGACTCTCCGCTGTGCCTAATCTGAGGCTAATGACTCCTGCGGTCCCTCATCCCGCTGGCTAGCGTGGCCTGAGTCCTTGTGGTGGGCAAGTGCGGGGAGCAGGAGAGATGAGATCTGGAACCCAAGGAGTCGTGTGTCCCAGATCGGCCCCAGAGGCCACGGTCCAGAGACGGGTACAAAAGATGGGACGCGGCTTAGAAACAAACTCACAGAGACAGGGACCAGAAGCAGGTGAAGGGTCAAGGAGTCGCGGGGAGGCAGGAGC